GGATAGCGTAGTTTCATGGGCTATAGGGGCATAGAGATACTCGGTCAATCACATGGGTATGCATGAATGATGCATGATCGAACTATTGACCTACTTTGAAGTTCAAAATATAGAGCTTTTGAATATATTAGTGGATTCCTTCGACATGAGTGGAACACTATTTTCATTCAATCATTGATTTAACTGTGGTACACCCGAACGTCATTCCGTAAAAGGGGACTATAAAAGGTGTTTCCTGGTTGCTTTAAAAGTTGAATGGGAGCTTTGGTTGCCATAAGATTGGATTGAGTCTACCTATTTACTTAGGAATGTGTCATGGCCTCTTGAAGAGGGAGAATTCAGAAAATGCATGGCCGTGCTCAAATGGATTACATAGTAATCATTTATTTTTGCAATTCTAACTCAGTATTCAAGAAATGATTTGTAGATTAATATGATTTTGAAATGAGATGCAATCATATTATCAAATCGACAAACATTGACTTAAGGAATTTTAATATTTCACACTTGTCTCAGACAAGTGGGAGATTGAAGGATTTATGTCTTCGTCAAGTGCAATTACTAAATATATCAAGGATCATTATTATGGAGATAATTAGTTCATTCTTTTGGGTCGTCATTGTCTATTGCTAGATATGATAAATGATCTTTGGGCTAGTCAAATAGTCCAAAGCCAAATAGAATGGATACGATGAGGTCACACACAAGGGTTTTGGATTGAACAAGTATGAAGCCCATTAATGGGCTTCATGAGGCAATGACAAGACATGTAAGTTGTAAGGCTAGAGTAGTTTGGATTGGGTTAGGAGTTTGGGCTTCAAATGGACTCTAATTATATATGTGATATATAAATAGAGGCCTTGCCTAGATTAAGCAGAAAAGACACAATTAACCAAAGCAGTGAATTGTGAAGCAAGCAACCAATCCCTCCCCCTTTCACTCACACGCCTCTCTCTCCCCTTCCCTGACCGTACAGTTCGGCCAACGGCCAAGGTGGACGAACGGTGGTGGTGGTGGTGATTTGTGGCTCGTTTGCCTCCTCTCCTCTCCTCTCCGTAGAAGGTTGATTGAAGGGTTCAATCATAACTAACTAGCATTAGTGGAGGTTCAATCCTTGCCCGTGACCAAGTAGAGGAATCACGTTTGGGTTCTTGTTCTCCTTATTGTTCTTGCTCGATCACTCGTGGAATCACGCTTCACGTATAATTATGTGTTCTTTGTGTGTTATGCATAGATCTTGTGAATGATGCTTATGAATAAGATTCATGCAATTCCGCTTATAGTATCTAAAGTCCTGCACATCATAAGAACCACTCCCATCAAGTAATGTTAACCCTGGTGTTGTTGTCAAACTCTTCTTTAAGGTTTGAAACTCTTCTTCACACTTATTGCTCCAAATAAACTTAGATTCCTTCTTCATCAACGAAGTCATAGTACTAGCTATTCTTGAAAAGTCCTTCACAAATCTCCTGTAATATCCGGGTAGGCCTAAGAAACTCCGAATATCCGACACATTCTTGGGTGTAGGCCGCCCCTTCACACCTTCGATCTTTGCACGGTCTACTTCTACTCCTTCCTTAGATATGAAATTTCCCAAAAATGCTACCTTCTCCAACTAAAACTTTGACTTTGAGAATTTGGCATACAACTAGTTATTTCTTAAAGTAGCTAACATTGATCTCAAATGCTTTGCATGGTCCTCCCTAATCTTAGAATAAACCAAAATATCATTTATAAACACCACAATGAATTGGTCTAGGAAAGGTTGAAACACTCTATTCATCAAGTCCATAAAAAATTGCAGGTGCATTTGTTAACCCAAAAGGCATTACTGTAAACTCATAGTGTCCATACCTCGTCCTAAATGTTGTTTTCGGAATGTCCTCTTCCGCAATTCGTAGTTGATGATATCCAGACCTCAAATCAATCTTGGAAAATATTGCTGCACCTTTCAACTGGTCAAACAAGTCATCTATATCCTAGGCAAAGGGTATTTGTTCTTTATGGTTACCTTGTTTAACTCCCTATAATCGATACAAATGATTCACATTCCCATTCAACTTGGTATTTTCCTTAAAATTCCAGTGACTTTAAAAATTCCCTTATAAATTAAATATGCCCCAAAGTTTCTAAATAATGAATAAATATTTCCAAAACCAAATATATAAATAGAAATGAGTTTTTAATTTATTAAAATAAACCTTCTTAAATTATTAAAATACCATAAATAATTCATTTCAAATTATTTAAATACTTCATAAAATAATACTTTAAATTAATATACGTATAAAAATACAGGGTATTACACATGCAAGGAGTCTAGTTAACACAAAAACCAATTCTAAACGGAGATGAAAAAACAGCCTTGTCAGAGTACAAATATTAAAAACTACTGACATACACATCATTTACAAATATTGTAAAACTTACCACCTAGATATGCCTACATTATCCTCTGACAACACATACATCAAATGAGAGAATTGCGATACTTTAGGACATGGTATTTCAGTAGGCACATTTGTTATGTTGCTAGTAGGAGGATTTATTGAATTATAACCTCCTGTGCTTAGGCTGTGTCACTTGCTGTGGAATTGAGTTTGATGGTGCACCACGCGGCCACGCCTCCGCTTCATGTTATGCCCATGGCCGGGAGGATGAACAAAATGATGAACTACACCCTACCAACCAAAGAAAACAAGTATACAACGATTAATAACCAAATAATAGAGGTATTAAACTACTCACTATATCACATAATATGCTTATATACCTTTGTCTCACACGAAGGACCATTACTATCCCGAGCTTCCTTTGGATGACTCTCACCATACGCTACATCCAAAGTCTACAAAAATTAAACACACATAAAAACCAATTATTAACCAATAACCCCTATTAACAATCAAGTGACCAAATTAATCAATGCACTACAAATTCACACTCACTAACCCCCAATTGACCATAATCACCTCCACTTGCAATTTGATCCTCTTTAGTGGAAATACCAATCTTATTAATGTCCCAGACCTTATTCATGGGAAATTCACCCCATTGCACAGTAAACCGGTTTAACTTGTCCAGATAAAAAACCTATATCGAAGCAACACATATCAAATCCTATAAAGCCAGGAAACAACATACACAATAATGGACTGAGTTTGAACATTTCCATACATAACACTGCAAAGATTGTACACCCGCCACATCCACCGGCAACACCGGTTGAGTAAAAAACGTTGGGAAAATCTGGCAACTCTCTCCATCAACTTATTTAACACCAAGTCACACCAATTGCAGGAAGCATCATTCATAGCACAAGTCAAGGCAGGAAACAAATCACAAGCCAACCTAGGAGACTATGTAGGACATAACACCATTTCAAGTGATAACAACAAGAACAATGTTTTAAATTCCTCCTCCTCATGTGCCTCCCATTTTCCCTCCAACCTTTCAATCAACTTTAAATTCACAAGTATGCCTATAAAGATGTAAACTCTACCTGCAAACTTCCTTGACCTTGTCTTAGAGGGTTGACCATATTTTTCCTGGATTCTAATCACCTTTTCTTGCAACAAAGAGGACATTGATTTACCAGTGAGGACAGTTAAGCCACCATTTGGAATGCCTAAGACCCAATGTACTTGATTGGCAGATAACGAGAATTGTTTCCCATCTGGAGCAACAAGCACCTTATTCAAAGGATCTATACGACTCATTAACCAATATCCCTAACTGCCAAGGTAATTGTATGTCACTTGGAGCAGTCAACAACCCACCTAACCCCATTTCATTAACCCACCAAATTCTTCTCTCATCCAATGTATGACATATTCTAGAAGAGGTCTCAATACGACAATTCATTTTCGGTGGCTGCAACAATTAGGACACAAAATAGAATTACAAACTACATTCCACCTTCCAAGATTTCCAATTTTATAAATCTACAAAACACTAAAATGAGACATACCCTACCAAACACTTCATTTTGCTCCTTAATTACCTTACCCTTCATCTTCACTTGACCACCAATGCTAATACAATTATCCTTCACAACAACATTAACATTTCATTAACAATTTCAAAACACTTGTTTTCACTTTTCAATAATACACATTTCATTAATAGTTCACTATCTAGAAAAATCCATACCATAAACAGTTTCACTTCATAGAACTTTCATTTGAGGATCAGCAGATCGATTATTCTTAACCTATAATCATGATAATTGACTAAATCCATAATTTATTCCACAACTACAACATTATTCACATGTACAATGTGAATTGAAACCCAAATTTATTTGAAAATTACAATTGTTACATTCCCATATCCATGTTGGACTGTGGACATTATCTCCAATAATTGCCAAACCAAACTGCATATGCGACATTTCACAAATTTTGACAAATTTAAAAGCAATAACAAGTTTTGCCAATAAACAAACTCATGACACTTTAATGGATACTAAGATTTTTCATCAGCACCCCTAACAACAATCGAGCAATCAACATGCAGCTAAGTGAAAACAATGTTTATCTTTACTTACTTATAAGCACAAATACGCTATATCATTGCTATAATTGCTTCAAACTACAAATAATTGGCAATACGAAATATCAAACATTGACAATTAAGTGAAAACTAAACCTACATACCTCAATTGCGATTTCCTAAAATGCAAGGACGAACTGAACAATGCAAAGACGAACTACTCACCACAATATATCGATCACATTCCACATAGCTCCATGATTCTGCAATTCAACACATTTATTACGACCTGAAAAGCGAATTTGAATTTTGACTATTCGATGAACAACAGAGGAACGAAGGCGAACTTAGCCCCAAAACCATCAGTTTTCGCCTTTTCTCGCTCATAGGGTTTCGTTTGGCATACGTTAGTGAGACCATTAGTCAAAGTCTGGGCTACCGTTTGTTCAATTGTTACCGTCAAGCTCGCTCATTACAACAAAGTCCTTGCACTTTATTTTTCATGACAATTTTACCCCCGTGAGAAACATTTTTGGTTTCTCACCGAGATCAACTTGTAATTACCGGATAGTTACTAAATTGAAATTAAATTTACGGAACTAAAATTATTTTCATTGAAGTGAAGTAAAAAGGGCTTAATTGTCAATTAGACAAAAAAAAAAAAAAAAAAAGAGACGGATGAATGTTGCCCTTACCTCCTTCTACTCCTCTCTCAGCGTTCTCCATTGAAGCGCACTCAACGTGTTCCATTGAAGCGCCTTCTGATACTTGTATCCCCATTGAAGGAGCTACTGAGGTAATTAGTTGTTTCTTTTTGTACTCATTATGTCAATTTCACAATCTAGAGTTTATCGTTGATCTAATTTAATTTAATTTAATTGTCATTGTAGTAAGTTTAGGGTTCGAAAATTTGAATTATTGGTTCTAATTACTAAGATTATATGGAAGATCATAACCAGCTTTTATGTTGCTAGAAAGGAAAATTATGAGCCTAATTTGATAATTGAATCAAATAATGCCTTTCCTCCCTAACTTGATGTTCGTTCTTTTGGATCGTATTGGGAGGATGTTTTATGCAATACAGGTGATTGACATTCTGATTGTCGAAAAGAACAATACCGTCCTCTGAAAGTTATGCAACGTTTCCCGTATGATTTGAGATTCTTTTGGGCTCTTTTCTTGTTGAGATATTAATGGAATTATTGGTGCAATCTACTATATTATTATTATATATTGAAAAGCTTTCCTAAACAAGTTTAATTTAAAAGTCAGTCAGCTACTAAGCTATTACCATAGTACATGTCATGGAAATAATGCAGTAATTCGGGGCATTGCCGGGCCTAAAAAGTAGTTATGTGTTCTATAATGCTCACGTTGCCCCATAAGTTAGTGATTAGAGTCGAAAGGGATAGTGAATTTCTTGAATCAAAAAGCTGTAACTAACTTTATGAATGGATCGTTAAAAAAAGTCAAATCTTAAAATGAAAAACCTGCAAGTTGGATGAGGAATGAATTAAGCATTATGTTAGAAGTTAGATTTTATGTGCATAAGGAATTAAGGAAAATAGAAAAGGGCTGTAAAAGATGTATCCAGTGGTACTGGATGGCTATTTTCCTGAAAAACAATCATAGAGTGGTAATGAAAATAAAATGGTCTAGATTTATAAAGGGAGTATTTTGTGTAATGTGGCGCCTGGTTGTGCAATTTTTTCTTCAGGGTAGAGAGACCCGGAAGTCATGCGAGGATCAGTTACGTGGTTAACGCTAAACTTGTGGATTCTTATATCAGTATGTGGCATTTTCATTGGAAAAAGTCTTGCAGAAAGTGTTACTCTAAACGAAGCTAGGCAGCTCAGAGATGAGGTATTCTTTCTTGACAATTAAGATTATAGTTCAAATTCCTGTAAAAAAAAAATGAAGTAAAGAAAAAGTGTATATAATGTCTGATGAAAGAATATGTGGATTCCAAGAGTACCATCTGGAGTATTTAACATAAGCCATTTGTTTGGTTGCTTTCTGACTTTTGAGTAATGGAGTATAGATTTTCTTCTTAAATGTGCTCCAGATTAAATGTATTACTGCATTGTTTGGGATTGTGATTTTAATGTCATCAATGCTGTAGGATATCAATGTACTTTAGAGGGATTTTTCTTTTTTTTTTTTTGCTTGATGCCACCTACAATTAATTTTCACTCAATTTCGGAAGCACCATGTCTTCCAAATCTTTGATGTAACTTCGCAGTGAACTAGTCTAAATTTTTTAATGTCACTTTCTGATGGTGGTCTATGCCTTATATTGGCAACAATTATAATTCTGGATGATTTCAATTAAGTCATCTCTCACAAGAAAATTGAATCATCTTAGTTTTGGGACTTGTAAGAGCTGAGGTTGATAACATTATTAGGCCTTTGATGTGCTAGCTAGCATATATAGATTCTTAGAGAAGGTTACAAACTTAGAATTGGAAATTTATTGTTGTTGTTGTTGCTGTTGTTTTTAGCTGCTTGCTTACTCTTCATCTTCAACTTGCATGGCCATTATTGAATTCGGCAAGCAAGAGCATTAGATTTGAATTTCTAGTCAGACTGCTTGTATTGTGGTATAGATTATCAATGGAATTAAACCATAGAATAAACGGAATTGTTGGTGTCATTAAACCTTATTAAAATCAACCGGCTAAATTTTTGATCCATTTTGTTAGAGTTGACAAATCATGCCTCACCTAGCAGTGGTAGCATCGCAAATCATGCTTCACAATCCTTTTCAAAATTAATACGGGGCAATTTTTAAACTTATTACTTCCTATGTTTTCTTTTACTTGTAATCTAGCTTTAAGACACACTTTTAGGAGGTGATTAGAGAAGGTAAGCAGACGATTTTATCAAGATTATTGCAACACCGGGAATAAGGAAGGGTTATGTACTATATGCACACATTATTTTGTTTAGTTTGTCATTTACATTATCTAATCTCTTCCTTAAAGTGCGTGCCATAGGGCTGTGTTGTAAATAAAAGAAAATGGAGGAAGTATAAGATAATAAATCCATGACTTTAAATACATCTTTCTAACTTATCCATGTGAGGTTTTTGTTGGACTATTTTGATTGGTTTTCTATCTTTTCTTTTTATACATTTTTTTTAGTTGAATTTACTACATGATCAAAATGTTTTACTTCAGGTTGAAGAGATGTTCTTTCATGCATTTAATGGATACATGAAGCATGCTTTTCCACGAGATGAGTTAAAACCCAAGTCTTGTGGCGGAGAAGATACTCTTGGTGGTTATGCCCTAACTTTGGTAAGAAGAAACCTTCAGGTTCCCATTTTTAAAAATTTGATTTCTGCTTGGTGGAGAGTTTGATAATATTCCTACCCTAATAGTTTTGCCGCACATTGAATCCCTCTTTGTTGTAGGTTGACTCCCTTGACACATTGGCTTTGCTTGGTGATAAAGAGCGTTTTGCCTTTTCTGTTGAATGGCTTGGGAATAACCTTCGATTTGACATTGTGAGTTGGTAATCATTTGTGCTATATCATTAATCATTATTGTTGTATTGAGAGTGTTCTTTACTAGAAACCTAGCAAAAGATAACTAAATGAGCAATGGTATCATATTTCTCTATAATACATTAATCACTTTTTGTCTGTTAGGTCTTAAAAATAAAGACAAATAAAGGGTGCAAGGCACCAAATATAGAGGGAGGGATTAACTATTAAATTTTAATTTGTATCGGCAAATACGAAAAAGAATCAAACAAATAGAAGGTGGTGAAAAGCACGGGATGAAGCAAGTGCTCCTTATGTGTAATATTCTATGACTTGACTATTGTGAATAATGTCAAATTGTGAACAATATTACCATTCACCCTTGTGAAACGTGTCATATATTCTGTCTTTATGGAGTCCTATCATTGTTATGCCACCTAATAAGATATATCCTAGCTTATTTTTCGCCTTTATTTAGTGGACTTACAAAATAAAACTTTACATTGGCCGTGATGTTAGTATATATCATATCTTGTCGACTTTGGGGGTTACCAGCTTCATGGTCTTGCAATATGCTGCTTTTGTGTTGGTTACTGTTTGTGTGGTTGCAATCTAGAGTTTTTGACTTTTTGTAGTTGCACTTGATCACTCATAATCCATATCTAACCAATCACTTCACGGTTCATATTATGAATTTTTCTCTTTTGTGTTTTGATCAATTTTGCTTTAATTATAGGAGTTCTGTTAAGAGACTTATAAGTTTGATCTTCTGTGGTAACATATGCAGAATAAAACAGTGTCAGTTTTTGAAACAACTATTCGAGTTCTTGGAGGTTTGTTATCTGCCCACCTTATTGCAAGTGATTATGCTACGGTATTGTTTGCTCTCTTCTCACAGTGGTTTTATGGCTGGCACTTACACTATCTTATCTGGAATAATTTGCTCATTTTCTTTCATTTCTGCTAGAATTTAGTATCTCTTGAATTATATACTTGAACTTTTGTTGCTACTCCGTGTAAGATAATGGTCGAATCATCTAATTGATCCAATTGGTTGGTTTAGTTTTAGTTGTCATGTATGTCACAAAAATGTGCGCCTTGATGGCATCATTTTGGGGAAAATCAGCATGTAATGCAATGATCTGTTTGTTACCTTTGGTTGACAACTTGACACCATCTCGGAATAAAATCGGATGACCTGTTCCCTCCTCTCTTTGTGGGAGAGTTGAGGACTTAGAATAAAACTATAGTCACAATGTGAAAAGCATGGAAACTTTTTCCAGTTGGCCTTGGTGAAATCCGAAAGGTTTTAAATTGCCCTGAGCTGCTTACGATAGGTCCCAAAAAGCACATATCCTGGTATTCAAAATGTCAAAAGCTGTGGTTGACCGCTCATTTTGCAATGTGTACTCTTTTTCAGTCCATATATTTTCCAGATAAGGAATAACTTAACCTTTCTGAATATCGGAATCCTAATTACTTCTGGGCCTCTGGCTGCAGATCTGTTTCTTCTCTAATTCTATCGACTCTCCTATCATGTTTCTCTGTTCTTTCTATCTCTCTCTTGTTGTCACACCAGCGCTGACATGATGCCAAAATTAGAGTTTTTCAGGATCCCTCGGCTTTCAGTTGAGGAGTCAAGCTGAGAGTGTGTGTATGATGGGCAGACTTTCCAACATTCTGTTTCACTGTTTTTTTTAATTAATTTTATTAAAAATAAAGATTGAATAGAACAGTTAAGCTCATTTTAGAACTATACAACATAAATGAGTAGAAACTCTGTTCATAATTTTCTTGAACTCTTTTTTTGTAAAGAAGTCCCAAAGGACACTAATTTTTATTGATTAAGGCTATACGACATCTACAATTGACAATTAACGACAAAGAAAATAGATTTAAAAAAATTAAACAAGAACTAACCGGGAAAGGACTAAGAATCCAAATACATAAATATAACAATTCGACACATTCTCGATTCGTTGTCTCATACAACTTTTTGAGTGAATCCGTCGTCGCTTCGTAATAGCTTTTCCCAAATTCCTTTTTTCATTATTTTGATTGTTTTAAAAAAAATTTGACTTTCCATTTTCGCTTTCCATTTCCGCTGTCGTTTTTGTTTCTGTATCTTTGACTGCCTAGGATTGCACATAGGGTCACATAGTTGTAGACTTGTAGTAGTGGCATAATTGGAAAAATTTGAACTTCGTCATTTTAATTTACAACATCTAGAGTCCTGTAGATGTTAATGAGTTATACTCTTATATTTGGAAAAATATCTTTGAACTCTAAAAAATGTATGGGTGATTTCAAGTTTTTTTTTTTTCTTTTCCGTGGACAACAAATTCTTACAAGAAGATTCTACAGTAATTGAGGTGTTCATCTGTATAAAATTATACAAATCGACTCTTTAGAGGAAACAGGAAAGCCTTAGTGTATGGATGTTTCTGGGAGTTTCTTGGCGCCTTCCTCTTTTTGTGGAACTGGGAGGGGGGAAGGGGGGTGGAGGCAACAATTTGTTTTCAAGTCCTTATTAGATGAACAATTTTTTTCCATTACAACTTGTGAATCAATGCTGATTTTTCTTTACATTATACTACCTCTTTTTATATATTCCACTCACTTTTCATTTAGATCCTTTTTTATTTTTTTACTCTACTCTCTTCTACCATATTCCCTTTTGACAATCCCCCTTTACTATCTTGCCCCTTTTCCCTACAAAATTTACACCTTTCCACTCTCTCTTATGCTGTCTACGTTTTTCTTACATCCACCCACCTTTTTACTTTTTCTCTCTTTTTTTTACCTTTTCTTAAACCACTCACCCTTTTCAGTGTATAAAAGGGGTCAAGGGTGCATTATGGCGGAAAAAAGGTTGTGCTCTTTATCAATGTCTTGCCTGGACAAAAAAGGCGCTTGACTCATATTACCTCAGCACCTAGGCATGCCTTTTTAAACACTAGACACCACGAAATGGACAAGTGTTGTATGTGGATCATAGTTCTTATTGAGTTAGGAAAGCAAGTAGGGGGTCTTTGAGCCTAGGGACTTCTATCCCTTTTAGGAAGGGGTCAAAGTGGATTTAAGGGGATTGGATTGCCTCATTATATTGCTCGATTGACTGATTGAATTCCAATGATGGATAAGGAGGATAATCAACCAATAAATGCCCAATTGGCTTAGTTTCTGGGGCTAAAAAGCTGAAACTTGGCCAAACAGGGTTTTTTTTGAAATTAACTTTAGCTTCTTTCGAAGCACAAAACTGTTTTAAGTAGCATGAACAATGGAGCTTACCTATACTGCTCACAACATTTACTAAGTTTTTTTAAACAGACTGGTATACCCTTTCTGGAATGCACTAATGACCTTATACATAGAAAATACACTTTTCCTGCCCTCATCATCTTAGTTCCTCATTGTTATCTCAATGAAGTAGCAAAGCATTCCTCAATGAAGTGGCAAAGCATTCCCAAATTTCCATCCCTATTTTATTTCTAAAAAAAAGTAGTAAAACATGTCACTGTAAAGGATGAGAAATATAAGAAAGTGAGGAGGAGGAGAGGGGAAATAAAATGGAGGTCTGGTGCTAATTTTTATGAATGCGTTTGGTGACACCACTGAGGTCAATTGAAAAGCCTTTGGGTCTTGTTTTGTGGCGGTTTGAGGTTGTGTTTGGGGTATGCTTCTGGGCTAGTTCAAGTGAATATGGTGGTCATGGTCAGTGGTTGGAGTTGGGGGTGATAAAGGTGCTTGAGCTGCATCTGGGTGTTACAGATTCTACATTATGTTGATTTATGACGATTTGTAGACATTTTAGTGTCTTCTATTTGTGTGGGAGAAAGGTGTAAACTGTGGGACAAGTAGTAACAACATTATTTCTATATTTCAGAAGCTCTTTTTAAAATGGTTGGCCAATTTGCGGTAGAAGTTTATGAAAATCTTGGTGGCTTGGACAAAAAGAGCCTAAGTTCTGCTGAATACAGAATTCAAGTTCAAGCCATCAGCCACTGTTTATTCTAAAAAAAAAAAAAAAAAATTAAATAATTTGAGTAAGGGAGGATCATTGTCCTTGATTGTATCCAATTTTCTTTGGAATAAGAAGTTCATACTTCTAGTTTCTACCTCTGCCCCCCCCTCTCAAAAAACTGTTAGAAAGAGAAACTTTTAGAGTTGTAGGCCTGATGATCAAGTAGCATAGCTGACTAGCTGTGTAATCTATTAATATCCCCTTTCTTCCTTTCTCTGCCCCACTTCACCTCCCACTAACATTGGAAAACAATTCAAGTGACTAAAATGAGTATATTTTCAATTTCGATTATATGATTGGAGATATGGATGTCTAATTGCAGGGCATGAGAATCCCATCATATGAAAATCAATTACTTCATTTAGCCGAGGATCTTGCTTACAGATTGCTGCCTGCCTTTGACACGCCTACAGGTATTGATAGCTCAATTTTGTACTTCTTTTCCCCCTTTTTTGAATTATAAATGCCTAGGCTCCATCTAGTACCTTTAAATCTTTTTTCCCCTAATAACCTAATTTTTTAAAGATATTTGAAAAAAACACCATTGTTTATGGTGTGCTGCTCTTACTGTATTATCTCTCGCTGAAATCTACCCTTAGTGTAGTCTTGAAAAGTTATTGTCCTATTAAGATTTACCTAATCACACTAATAGGATCTAGTCGTATCACCAATTCAAAAGAATTACCTAAGTCCTCCGGCTAAAGCAGATAGAGAAGTAGGGTCGAATCCCCAGGGAAACAAGTCTTTCTATTCCTAAATAATTAATGTAATCTAAACTATCAAGTAACCAAGTTGTTTTGAGAGAATTAAACTAAGGAGAATAAATGAGCTAAAGCAAGATTAAACTAAGGGAAAATCAATAAATCAAAGCCTAGGGTATAGGTTCACTAATAAATAATATTCCAGGGTAAAACACAATAATCAACCATCAATTAATCAGATCATAAATGGCTTTCGCTACGTATTACAATCACATAATTAATCTACCGGTATTAAATTGTATCTCTCAAATCTTGACTTAATCATTTATAAATTAACCTGCCTATTGAAACTAAGCCTACACATCAATTCTCATCTCTTGAATCTCGAATCAATATTGCATAACTCATACAATTAAACCTGGCCAAATCTAATCGCATAGCATTAAATCAGTCAATAGGAAATCAATGGAGCATTAACAATAAACAATAATAAATTACCCCTTCATATTATTTATGGATCCTCATAACCCTAGAAATAAAACTACTCATACATATTAAAATCTAAATTAAGCAAAGCAATGAAACAAGACATGATTAATCAAAGCAATTAAATTACTGAAAATAAAAGGGGAAGAAATCGTTACCAAAATAAACGGAAATGATGAATTGCATAAACCAAAAGAGTTGAAAGAACAAGAGTATTAATCAAAAGCTTAAAACTAAGAATCTGGAAATTAACTAATGGATGATGCTCTCCCCAAATCTTGCTTAACAAAGTGTATTATACTTAGGCTCCTAAATCCTAAAGTAAAACAAAGTTTAAGTCAGCGAAAACGCTTCTCAAAAGCACGGGCCCGGTCGGGTGCCATCTCCCCTGGCCGGGCCCGCCTCCAGCTGATGGGATCCTCAACTCGCGCCTAGTCGGGCGCGCCACCGGGCAGAGGGTGCGTCCTTCCTATCTTCCTCGCCCGGCCGGGCGTGCCTTAGGGCGAGGGCTTACCCGGTCGGGCAAGCTTCCGAGCATATGTGGACTTCGATTGGGCTATTTTCTTAGCCTAATCCGCATTTCCTCTTCGGGTCTTTATGACTCGGTCCAATGCCTCGAACTCTTCTTCTTCACCGAGCCCTTAATCACCGGTTTGATTGCTCCAACTCGGCCTTGGGCTTCGGAATGTGGTCATATAAATGCGATCCTACTCCACTAGTGGCTCAAATAAGTCCGGGAAAATGCTCCAAATCTGCAATTTCCTATAAAACAATACCAAAACTGCGCAAACACTAGAAAACGCATATTAGTAATAAGAGTGGCTCCATAGAGCCAAAAATATTCCTAAATATGACTAAGGGACGGGGGTAAAACACTATATAAAATAGACATATCACACACACTATTAAAATTGTTGTTAAAGAACTAGACAAAACATATTACTTTTGTTAAGGCACTGAAGGGTAGGCACATCTTTGACACAATTCTGGTATTTTTATGGGTTTAAAATTGTCTGCAAGGAATAAAAAGTGGAGTGCTATATATATATTTTCAGATATATGGTGACTAAGATATTAGTGAGATAAATAAATAATTGGGTGAATGGCATAGCTCGAGTTTAAACATATCAAGCAATTATAGATCTTGATGTCTTTCTTTATAATGCATTTCCTTTTCACCTACTTGGGCAAAATCTTTTCCCGGGAAAAAAATTCCCAATTAATTGGAATTGTAAAAGGGGGCCTCCATCTGTCTTATCACTCAGCAACCATGTGCTAAAGCCTGGCTGTACTTCTTTCAGTATGGATGTTGAATCTGAAAAGATTTGAGGCGTTTATGATTAATCACTCTCTTTGCTAAGAAAACTGAGAAAATGTGTAATTCATGTCCTGACTGGTGTATGCAATATTCCAGGGATTCCATTTGGTTCTGTGAATTTATTGGATGGAGTAGATGAGAATGAAAGTAAGGTAAAGTTATCTGGCATTTTCTTTCCCTTTTTCATGTTACAAGATTGTGTAATATATGCCTCTTGCGAACAATGCAGAAATCGTTGTTTGGAATGATCTTGTCTTCAATTTGATAGTCTGTTGTCAGATTACTAGCTTTTAAATCTTTCTTTATTGTCTTGCGACTTCCGCCCGTCATGGCTGTATATTCATTGTTTTGATTTCATAAACTATTATCATGACTCATGGGCTGCTTCAGATAACGTCAACAGCTGGTGGTGGGACTTTGACCTTGGAATTTGGTATTTTAAGCCGCCTGACAAATAATCCTGGTAAGGAAATTTCTAGTACTTGCGGCTTGCGAACTTCTAGTTACTTTTTGTATTTTGTAAATCCAATTTAGTCTTTCTGAAAGGGGAGAACATAGGAACTGAAAATTTTAACTTGACTCCTAGTTTTAAAAAACGTGCCCAAGGCGTGCTTTGGTGCTAGGCAAGCCAAGGTGTGAGTGAAATTGCCGTAGTCCTGTCAGGCGCGTCTGAAAATGTTAAGTAAGCTTCTAAAATATTGTGTTGGGCAAACAATACACTCCCCCCCCCCCCCCCCAAATTAATTACATGTAGTCCTGTCAGACGCGACTGAAAATGTTAAGTAAGCTTCTAACATATAGTGTTGGGCAAAACCCCCCAATTAATTACAGGTACTTTAATTTCGCCATCCCTAATTTTGGAAAGACCCTTAATTACAAATTGGTTAGCCATAGTGGTGGCCCACTGGCAGTTAATAACAGAGAATGCCGGTAAGCCTTCTCTGGTGGTTTCCGGTGATTGTGGACATCTCCGTTTAAGGTCTTTCAGGGAAGATATATACTCTTTTCGAACTCCTTTTGGCGCCCTTCTCTTTCAAAATTTTTCCTTTTTCTCCGTCTCTATATTTCTGCCACTCTTTTTATTTTTGTGTTTCACCTTTTATCCCTTTATAATCTCATTTACTTAAAGCTTCTGCTTTTTTCCTCCTTAATGTTTATTAGTTGTGTACTCCCCTACAGCAGTGTTTGAAAAAGCGCGCCCAGGCGCAAGGCGATAGGGGGTAAGCGCTTAATTTGGCCTGGGCGAGGCGTTTTTCATTAGGCACAGGATAGGCGCACGAGGCGCACCTGAAGCAAATTTCTGCCAATTTTTTCAACTGTATATATAGTGCGTCTCACTTCAAAGAGGCGCACTAAGGCGTGCCTCAGGCGCAGCATAACCCTTATCGCTTCAGCGCGCCTTGAGCTTTTTATACTTTGCCCTACAGTCTAATGGTCTAAAGTAATCCTTTTATATTTTTATTTCATTATAAATTTCTGCTTTTATCCTCCTTTTTGGTTTTTAGTGGACTACTTCCCTACTGAATGCTACTGACTAAGGTAACCACTTTCTTCCCCATCTTATTCCTTTTTTTTCCCTTCATATTTTCAGGCTTCTTTAACGAAAATTAAAGTACCACAATTTTTTTCATAGGTTAGTCTATTAAAATACCAGCCCAATTGGAGATGATGATCACTGCAGTTTCAGTCTGTATCTTTGTATGTTAAATTACTTCCTAGAAGAGGACGTTTTATTAATGAAACAATGGATCCATTAGTTTGAGGGCATGATACTTTTTGTCATTAACCTTCCTTTTGCATGTGGGAGTCACCTTGAATACTCAATAATATTTTTTCCCCATCGGTAAGGATTTTCTTAAGAGCAGGAATTTTGTGTGTGTGTGTGTGTGTATATATATATATACTCTTCTAAAAAACACTGACATTAATAAGTAGTAATATCTTCAAGCATTAAAAGTACTTCAAGCATGGATGAAATTAATAAAGGAAAAGGCCCATGAGCATTGAAGAGAAGCTAAAACACCACCTAATCCCAAGCGGTAATATCTTTACTCCCTCCGTATTTTAATAAGTGCTCCACTTTCTATTTCCGGCCGCATTTTAGTAAGTGCTCCATTTCTACTATTAGAAACTTATAACAATATTTTTACTATTTTACTCCCACTAGTGGTCCCCCAAATATCAAATTTTAATATTTTTTAGATTCTCTCTCCTCCCCGCTTATACCCATTACTACTTTTTTCAGATTTTTAATAATATATTAATGCATTCTACTATTCCTTCTAAAACCGTGTTTAGAGAATGGAGCACTTATTTAAATATGAAGGGAGTATTACTTTATCTTGAGGAGGAAGTTGCTTAGGCACTATCTTGGTATACTATCAAGAAATTTACAAACTTAATCTTCTTACAGAGTAACTATGGCGATCGCAGCCGCTCTAGGTGTAAAGTAGTCTAAACTTTATATGAAATAATTTATTTTTTCGTTTCTGTTATTCCTCAACCAACCCACGAATAAAGGAAGAAAGGTCTAAAAAAGTTCTGCAATGGGGTTTCTGTTCACTCTTTAATTTTGCTCATCCTATGGATAGTTGGTAGGTTAAACTTTGAATCTTGAATACAAACCTTTTTTTTTGTTCTTTTAATGGAGCACATCTTTGTATCCACTGTAGCTAATGTCATTTTGTTAAATGCAGTTTTTGAGCAAGTTACAAAAAATGCTGTTCGTGGATTATGGGCCTGCCGTTCTAAGCTCAATTTAGTAGGTGCACATATAAATGTCTTCACAGGTGAATGGACACAAAAGGTACTTATACATACTCCCTTCGTTTTTAAATATTTGCATCACTTTGACCAGCATATTTGGCGAGATTATAACTTTGACCATTAATCTCTTTAATTGTCTATTAGTAAAAATTGTAAAATAATTAAATTATGAAGTTAGACATTGTAAGTATTCCAATTATATATTACAAATTAACATTTATTCAGTTTACAAAGTAAAAAATTAAGTCAAAGTATGTGAATAGTGCATAGGTCAAAGTGACGCAAATATTATAAAACGGAGGGACTATAAAAGACAAAGATTTTAGATGTTCAGCATCAGTTTTTCCATTGTGGAACAATTTATATTTTTATAATTTTGATAGCTGCTTTTTGTGAATGTTGGGATTCATCAGCACAAAGCTGATGTTGCTATCAATATCCTATACCCTCAATATATGATGATGATATTGAACATTTTGTGCTCATTGATATTTATCACCGTAAATGCTTTTTTTGTTGGGAATGCATGCTCCATGTGATGCATGCAGATAGAGAAGCATGCTCCAAGAAAGTTTCTGAAATTAATGATCTCAGAACTTTGATGATCATGAATGCGTTGATGTGAGCTTGCTTACATCTATGCATCTCTTGAAGGAGTGAGGAGGTCACTGGTCAGTAATTTCTGTATCACTTAATAGTTAATATACTGGACTGCCATATTTTCTTCCTAGTGGAGATTAGAGGAGGGGAAAAGCATTTACAGAGGCCAAGAGAGGGGAGAAATTTAAGCAAACCAAATAAAGGAAGAAAAATACTGAGAGAACTGAGAAAAAGTTGATACATTCAGTGTGGGGGATTTTATCAATGGGGGATTAGTCTGATTTAACTGATTAGTCATAGTAGGATTAATGATTCCCTCTCTAGCTAAACTATTTATTTTTCTTTATGGAGCTGGAAAGAAGAAATGAGAACTTTCTTAATAATTTTGTTTAGAACTGTTATGGAGAAACTTTTTTTCTATGCAATGTTGATATGTATGTTATAATCTGATGGTTGACATCTTGCCTGAGAGAGTGAGAGGTGTGCTGTGTTGGGACGGACACTCTTAGTCCTTTTTCCTAAATTTTCAAATGCATGAATTAAAATGTTTATACCTCTATATTCAATGAGCCCCGATGAAATGTATAATTGCTCTTGTAACTAACTCTGCATAATATGTCCTCCACTTCCCTTTTCCTTCTTGCATTACTGTAATGAATGGAAGGCTTATCTTGGTTCCCCACACAATCTCTTGACCTGTGTGACTCACTTGGTAAAAACTGGGTCTATGACTTTTATGTCATTTACTTAGACCAGGATTGAGGCTCCTTTTTTTTTTTTTTTTTTTTTTTTTTAATGAATGATTGAGGCTCCTTCTTAGCAACATGGCCAGCCTATACACACACACACACACACACACACACATATATATATATATATATATATATATATATAGGGGAGGGATTCGGTGAGAATAGGTCCATATGTGAGAACTCATACTTATATGAGAACTAATCTAAAATTTTGAACATGTGAGTAAAAATTTAAAACATATGGGTAAAAATTTAGAACACATGATTAAATATTTAGAATACATGATTTAAATTTAGAACATATGAATATAACTTTAGAACATCTACGTAAGTAACAATTTAGAACATCTAATTTTAAATTTAGAACTTGTGATAAAAATTTTAAAACCCGATTTAAGATTTAGAACATGTGAGTAAAAATATAGAACATTTGATTTAAGATTTAGAACATGTGAGTAAAATTTTAGAACAACTGAGTAAAAATTTAGAACATACGAGTAAAAATTTAGAACACCTTATTTAAAATTTAGTACAGATGATTTAAAATCTAAAACATATGAATAAAAATCTTAGATCACAATTTTTTTAGATCATATTAGTTAAATTTAGTACAAATAACTTAAGATTTAGAACATGTGAGTAATAATTTAGAACATACGAGTAAATATTTAGAACATGAGAGTGTTCTCACATATAAAAGATTTCTCACATATAAGAGGGGTTCTCACGAGAGCCTTCCCCCATATATATATATAAAATATATATGTTCCCATGTTAATATTGACCTCTTTTTTTCCATTTTTGCATACAGTAATGACTACTCTGTTGATACAGTGGCTACAGCATGTCAGCATGTTAATTACATTCTTCCTTTGCAGGATGCTGGAATTGGAACAAGTATTGACTCATACTATGAATATCTTCTAAAGGTTGGTATCAAATATGAATTATCTGAATTTTTCCCCCTCCCCTACCTCTTCTAAATGCTTCTTTTGATTATGAACTTTAGTGAAAATTTTGTTTCTGCTTTAATCATGTTAACCAGTGTGTAACATCCCAATGATTCCCTCTTCTTAAAACCAAATAATTTAAATAAAACCTTGGAGGATTACCAACTTGTCACTGCCACATGTGAAACGTTTAGGCTTACTTCGAATATTGTAGCAGAAATCAATGACACAAAATACTTGAAACCGTATATAAAATCAAAAGTAAACAGTAAATAGTTAATACAACTAGGAACCATTAAAGTCCTCAAAACCATTATTCAAATCAAACAAAATTTAAGAAAAACCAAAATCAAATCCATTACGCAAATTCAAACTGAACAAAATATTCATTAAAGAAACATGAATCATTCATACCGGTTCTCTCTTCATTCCCATGTAGAGAAATTAATAGACCTTTGATGTGTGCCTCTTTATAGCATATATGATTAAACACTTAGGTTCTCAATCGTTCCCACTAGTTTTCACTTCATTCCCATGGTAACATTTGAACACCATCTGTATAGGGAAGGAAATTAATAGTCCTTTGATGTGTGCCTCTTTGTAACATATATGATTAGAGACTTTAGGTACTTAATCATATTTGTAATCATAAACTCTTCCAATGGTAAACAAACGCACGATCTAACCGCAAGAAGATGCTTAGCTTATATCAATACAGTACATGATCATATTTCACAATTGTTGCACATAAAGTTTACCGTGATACATTATGATCACATACATATCATCAATTAACATGCTTAACTTCATAAAGTTCATACTTTACTTAATTCAAAATATTTGTACAATGCACTTTGTTTCTCATTCATAACTTCATATACTCCAATTTAGTTTCTTACAGCAAACTTTTCCATTCTAGGAAATACATGACAAGCGCAATAATCACACATTTAATTTGCACATGGTCACATAATTACAATAAATTTTATTGAAATCAATCAATAATTATTAGAATAATCAAATATCTTTCTATTCTACCCAATCTCACCAAAATTAATTAATTAAAGTGAAAGGATAATTTAATTTTTTTGATTAAATAATTTGGATCTCACTAAAAAAACTTCAAAATGATATTTTTTAAATTTCCAATTTCATTCGTGTTCTTTTTTTTTTTTTTTTTTTTTTTTTTTTTGTAAATTTGAAATTAAAAGTAATTTTACAAGTTCCAAAAAAATATTAACTAATTATAATAATTCTTAAATAGTTTTAGAATACCAACTAAAATATACTTTGCCATGATTTTTGACTAAAACACTTAAGTACTTTTTCACTTGATTTGCAAATCAAAATCATGGTTTCTAAAAGCCCAAAGCTGTAGATCAATAGAACAATTGTGAGTTCAATTTTTCTTACCGGTAAGAGGCAGCTAAAATATACTTTGCCATGATTTTGACTAAAACACTTAACTTAAAATACTTTTTCACTTGATTTGCAAATCAAAATCATGGTTTCTAAAAAACCCAAAACTCTAGATCAATAGAAGAACTGTGAGTTCAATTTTGCTTACTTGGTAAGAGGAGATTCTAGCACAACGCAATATCTTCTAAAAGGAAGTTGGACCTTCTACCTTTTTTTTTTGGAACAATGGAACATAATTCATCCCTTAACTATGTTATAGTAGTCCTTAATTGTACCAAAGTACAATGCACGGGATACCAGTTTGATTTACATTAGTTGCCTCTGGAACAATGGAACATAATTCATCCCTTAACTATGTTATAGTAGTCCTTAAGTGTACCAAAGTACAATGCACGGGATACTAGTTTGATTTACATTAGTTGCCTCTACTCAGGTATTTCATGTTTGTAGGGAATCAAATAATCAACCTCCCATTAGTTGATAAATTACCAATAACAATAGTTACTTTTAAAAATATTGCCATGTGGGTGGAATATTTGTTACACTCCCACCTTTACTAACCATGACTAATACTATAGTCCATCATGGTTCTTGCTCTATCTCCATCTTTCTTTCCCTATTGCTTTTGTTTGATTATATAATTTTTAGCAATCTCATAAATTATGGAAGTCAGCCAAACGTGTAAAGTAGAAATGTAGGCTTCGATAATGGAGAAATAAAATTGAATCAATAAACTATTAAATTAATCCTACATGCCCCTCATAACTATACATAGATCCCTTAAACCCTAGTAATTAATTTAGTCACTCGTGATTTAGAAACTAAAACAGTAAATAGTACATAACAAAATAGTTAAGTCCAAAGCAAGTGTTTAAAGAATAGTAAATAACGATAAACAAACTAATCAAAAGAATAAGTACATTAATAAAGAAAAATGAAGATTATATTTTACACTTTATTAATGAAGGAATTTGTACAAGAACATGTAAACTATGAAGAGAGTTACGACATCAAAGCAAAATTCTATGTTTTTAAGGAGAAGATAAAGCGTAAAGGAATAAAACAACTTAAACAGTTTTAGCTTCCTGATTTTTGGGATAAAACTAAGGAAAAACCGTCAAAAATAATATAACATTTGGCAGTCCACTAAAAACAAATCGACCTTTCCATTATCTCAGAATAATATCACCTCCTTTGGAGGTATCCACTCTATACAGGTCATAACCTTTTGGTAAACAGGTTATGACCTTTTTGGGATGCCTTTGGAGGTTCCCTTTCCCTTTAGCTTCTTTATGTTTTTGTTATTGACTTCAATAAATCTACACTCTTTGAAGGTAGTAAGTACCCCTATTGTGGGTTTGAGTGTAGAAAGTGCCCCTATGATGGGCTTTGTTCTAGTTTTGTTTTTGTTTTTGTTTTTTGAGTTTAGTATGGTACAAGTTGTTTCATGGGTAAAGATTTGTGCGGGATCGAGAAAGAGATTAATCCTTCCATTACAATCAGATATCAGACGAAAATTTTCTTCACGACTACAATAGATCGATAGACCCCCTCGTCCAAAAATGCTGCAAATCACAGCGATATAAAAGAGGGTATGAAAAATGTTCGATTTGCAACAATGGTTGTAGCTCTACTGAAAGGAAGCTTTTATTTAATTCAATTGTCATGTATTTATTAAATTTAAATCTCTTTGTAAATGTCGTATGACTTTTTATTTATGAATCAATCTTTATTCAAATATATATATATATGTATATATATATATATATATATATATATATATATATATATTATTATGAGATAATAGAAAGGACGAGTTGTTTTTAGAGGACCTCATTTCCTCATTTTGACAATTTTTCTTAAAATTAATAACTAAAGAAGTAAAATAACTTATACAACATAAACTACAATGTTGTTAGACGATAGTCGATGATGTGACACGACTACAATAGATTGATAGACCCCCTCGTCCATAAATGCTGCAAATCACAGCGATATAAAAGAGGGTATGAAAAATGTTCGATTTGCAACAATGGTTGTAGCTCTACTGAAAGGAAGCTTTTTTTTAATTCAATTGTCATGTATTTATTAAATTTAAATCTCTTTGTAAATGTCGTATGACTTTTTATTTATGAATCAATCTTTATTCAAATATATATATATATATATATATATATATATATATATATATATATATTATTCTGAGATAATAGAAAGGACGAGTTGTTTTTAGAGGACCTCATTTCCTCATTTTGACAATTTTTCTTAAAATTAATAACTAAAGAAGTAAAATAACTTATACAACATAAACTACAATGTTGTTAGACGATAGTCGATGATGTGACACAAAGAAGCTAGACAAAGCCAAGCAACGAAACTATGCGCTTGCATAGATGGCTCGCTTGTCTAATGCGTTGATGCTTGCTCTTGCCAAATCTTTTGGGCCATCGCTAGGTATATGCTTCATTAATGCCTATACAGGTGTGGGCTGCGAGCCTGCGAGCGCGAGATCTAGCATGGAGATTGGAGAGTATTGTTGGGCATCATGGGCTTGCAACACAATCGATGCTAATGCTTTGATCCTTTGACTCAAATAAAGCCTTGATGATTGCTATCCATACAATCAACACTAACACCAATGCATGGAATTAAGCAATTACAGTTGATGGACATATAACCAAGTCCCACAATCCTCAGATTGACACATTCAACTTTCGAACATAAAACATATTCAACTACTTTTTCTTCAACAGGAATCGCTCTAACACTTTGACACTCTGAAAGCAAACAAATGACCATAAAATTACCTAAAATTTTAGCAAAACCACAAATCAAGCCTTAACGAAACTAAATGAAAGCAGGTGATCCTCAAATGCAACCTAAACGTGCTTTAAAATCCTCTCAAATTTTATTTATCATCCACCTTTAGTACTCTATCACCTAAATGTTGGTCTTAAAGGTTAAACAAAGAGTCTGTGTAAGATTAGTTATTAAGATAAAAATGTTTGGCCTTGTTTGATCTTAGATTTAGTAAATTTTAACTCCTGCTATAAGATAGTAACACATTGTTGTCTTTTCTATCATATGTTCTATGATTTAGTGTTTTAATCCATGATATATGTCGTTCAACATTATAATTATACAATAACCGACTCCTTGGGAATGATTGTTTCTTGTTGAATGTACATTGATAACATGTGAGAGCTGAATCACATGTGCTCCTATACACCATTTAAATGATTAATGTTTCTCCTTTCTTTTCTTTTTTTCTTTTTATTAATTTTTTTTTTCTGTTTTTTATTTTAAATAATGCTTGTTGAATACACAATCATACTAATCTATCCTCAAAACTAAAAGGAAATGGCTTAGTACATAATTAATGGTCAGCCATAATTGTCAGGCCTTTTTACTGTTTGGGGATGAAGAATATCTTTACATGTTTCAAGAGGCTTATGGAGCTGTAATGCACTATCTCTTCACTGATCCATGGTAATTATCTACATGTTCTGATTTCATTCTTACTGATTTGGTTTACCAGCATTACTGACATGATGGGGAAATCCCTGTAGGTATGTAGAAGTAAATATGGACTCTGCAGCTATTGTATGGCCATTATTCAACAGTTTACAAGCATTCTGGCCTGGCTTGCAGGTAATACATGTTTCTAACACAATTATAATAATGGAATTACTTATAAAAAGAAGTGATATAAGCCATCTTCAACTTGAAGTTGCATTGATGACATGCAAGAAGAATTTATACCCTTTGTATTTAAAAGGTTTTAGCTGGAGATGTTGATCCTGCTATTCGTACACATGCTGCCTTCTACAGTGTTTGGAAAAGATATGGATTCACCCCTGAGGGCTTTAATCTGGCTACTCTAAATGTTCAAGTAAATTCTCAAAAGTTTCCTCATAACTATTATTAGTAGCTCAGTTATGTGATTTTAGGAATTGGTTTTGTTCATTATTAAAAGCCGTTTTAAATTGATGTTTTCTTTGAATTATTATTCAGCTATTGCTTCTAACGGGAACCTTTGGTTGAATTATAGATATTTATCAATTTATTTTTCACTCTACTATATGTAAGCACTGCAGCTCTTGTTGTATGATTGTTGTCTGTTCTTTCATCTTTTAACTTCAATACCTACTTACTATATATAATTTTCTGCACTAAGTCACGAGAAATTTCTTATATGCAAGTATCAGAGTCCTACCTTCATCTCAAATTGTAATTATTATTACTATATTGGGATGTCCTCAAAAGAAGTTCCTGACTTTTTTCTTTTCTATGCAATAAAGTTATATTTATTCTCAAATAGGCTCCTGCAATTCTTTGTTGCTAAATATAGTAAGGCTTTGACTGGAAAATTTATGTATAGTGTATTAATCACATGACCATCCTCAGTAAGAAAGCCAAAATGTTTGAACAATATTTGTAAAAGAGAGAGGCTATGAATCTATGATGCAGTGACCTGATTTAGAAATTTAATTCCAGCAAGGTCAGAAAAGCTATCCACTGCGTCCAGAATTAGCCGAGAGTACTTATTGGCTCTACAAAGCTACCAGAGATACCAGGTTTGTTGTTGTAAGAATAAATGTATATTTTCTTGGAGTGTCATTATTGATTTTGTCGATGACTACACGGAATAATCAAATTTGGTTCATGTAGCCGGCCCCACTTATGGGATTAAGGCTTTGATTGATTGATTGTCATTATTGATTTTGTTTCTGTATGAAAAGGCTTATGATTTTTCTTTCATTTGTTTTCCAATTTGCCATGAGTTGATTTGTTTTTTTTTTTTTTTTTTTTTTTTTTAAATGACTGCTTGTATTGGTATTTATGACCATTATTGCTTGCATATCACCTATAAGGGAAATTTTGCGTGGTCTAAGAAAAACTCCTAGATCTAACAAAACCAAGTTTGAACCCAAATCATATACAATGTTAAGCAAGGGTGGAGAATCCACAAGGACGACACTAATAACCATGATACATAGTCCACAACCAAGCTAATTCAAAGAAAGTAAGTGAGATATTAACCTAAATAATAACCTAACAAAATCACGAAAGTTAGAATGGAATTCTATCAAGGTAAACACCACAATGGGGTGGTTGGGGTCATGTAATCGAGGATAAATGGGGTAGGGGATAAAGCGAATATTAAACTAAGACAAGTCGGAATTGTTGATTAAAGTAAACTCTCTTCATCTTTTAATCGTGAGTAATTTATCAAGCATGGACTTTCATCCCAAATTAGTATATCCCTAGGTCAATAAAGATGAATCAACCAATATACTTTCCAAGGCCACACTATCAATCAATTCTAGGTAAACCGTACAACACTCAATCAAATAAAAGCAACAAGATCAACTAAAACAAAAAATAAGGCAAAAGGTTTTAATTAAGAATCCTCTTAATCCCAACCCTTTAAGTCCAAAAATTACAAAATCTACCCATCAACCTATCCTGCAAAAAGAGCTACTCAGTATTCATGTTCAATCTAATTATTAAAAATTCTTCTATGGCATAGCTTAAAAAATTCTTAGAAGTAATCATAAATTTTCTAGAATCACGGATTCAAATAGAAACTAGAATGAAATATATTATGCTTAAATGCAAACCTATTTATATGCGAATTTATTTATTTTAACTAAGTATGAACTAAACAAGGAGAATTCATGAGCTAAACAAACCAAATTATCATCCATGGAATAATTTAATGCTAATCAAGATAAGATAAGAGTAAAGGGATATCAATAGGAAACTAAGATTATGAAAGCTAAATATTTCATACTTTTGGATTAGATCAACTAGCAAAAAGACTAAGCAAGATTGATGATAGGATTAAAGGTCTAAATTGATATCATATGGTGTGCATGTATACCATAGGCCGTAGGGACATGTAAAAAAGGTCTTCTCTTAATCTTTAGGATCAATTGTGATAAGAAGAATCCCAAATGCATAAAAAAGGGGGGGGGGGGCTTTGAGGTTATTAAGAGTATATCCAATGCTTTCTTTTGCTTTCGTAATACATTAAGCTATAGATTAATCTATGAAGCATCTAATGAAGCATTCATAATAACAGATGTGTTGTTTGGACCACATAACTTATACCTCAAAGGAATGGCTTTCAATTTAACATTTGGTGCTTCCTTGCCATTCATGGCCTCTTCCTTGTCATCCACGTGATAGATCTCCTTAATAGGTTTGATTTCATCGTGCACAGTAGGCTCACTTGTCACCACTTGAGCAACTAGTAATCATATCTTCATAAGATTGCATGTCTTATTCAAAACAAGCTATCTTGGTTTCATTCAACAAAATGCCTTCTAAATAATCACCAGTAAGATGCATATGCATTTGAGAAGATCATGTATAACATGTTCTAAGGTGTTTAAGCAAAAACAATCATATCCAGTAGAAGGACATTTTATTACTTCGTTCATATGAAAGACAATAATGTCATTTCCCACCTTGAAGGTGGTCTTTCCTTTCCCTCTAATTTTTTTTTTTCACTTCAATAATAGCCTCCATGGTGGCTAAGAGTAGTTTCCCTAAGATAATTTGCGCATTATTATATATCATATTGTGATTAGTTCTTCCTCCATTCTCTTTTAGTTGCAACTTTTTGACTTTCATGCTTTTCAATGCATAGTTTTAACCCTTTATATCTCTAATTATATCTAAGTAAAAAAATATAAAAATTTGATATTGTGAAAATTTAAATTGAAATGAATTTAACAAGATTCCACATGACTATAATTTTGCCCAACAGATAAATCAATAAAGGTGGTCAAAATGAATAATGTAAATAGTGTAAAATTTAATTGTTGGGGGGAAGTGTACGGTAATGTGACAATTAATACGAGGGAAATGCCCAAGTTGACCTCTTAGAACTTTCAAGCGCTTTTTCTGATAATAAATTACAATGAAAGTAATTTAATATGTACATTTGTAATAGTCGCTATATTTAAAAGCATGCCCCTCAATGTAAAGTACGGTAGTTATAAGGAATCTATAATGCGGGTAATTATTTGACTTGTACAACATATTGTTAAAGAAGTTTGGGAAGCTGGCCATTTGAAAAAAGAAAATATCACAATGCGAAAATTATCTTAGCTTTTGTTCTATAAGAAAGATGGTTTCATCAAACTTGCCAACCTCCAAGTTTCCCTAGCTTACTAGTGAAGGTTTAAGACACGGTTTGTGTCTACAGACTATCTGACGTAATGCAATCTGTTGAAACAATTTACTAAGTCGTACTTTAGTGGCACCACTTTAATATCTCCAAGTTGCTGATATTCTCTCCCTTTTAGTACCTGTGATCAATCCTGATCATATAAATCTTCACAATTTTGTTATAGTTAAAAGGTGTTGGATGCAAAAAGTGATATTGGCAAAAATGATAGAGATAAATTAAGAACGCACTCAAGAACTAAGGAAGGACTACTTGTGTCATTTGACTCCCTGCGGGCTGCGACACACCTCACACAACTCATATAGTACCTTCAGATTCAGGATATCTGATGCATTAGTCACAGGGTGGGTTTCTCATGAGAAATTAAATTATTCTATAGAATCAGTGAGATGTTCTCCCAATCTCCCATAAACCTCTAGCTTATGGTGTACACAAGGAGAGAGAACTCTTTGTGATAAACTATCTATTACATTTATAAATACTTGCTCCATATGGACCTTATCAATCATGATTCGCTGCTAGAGGGTGATAAAATTTCTTTCCTTGTTTGATACTCTCTAGTCTAGAGACTTGAAGGACTAGGCCTTGTTTCGATTCTGTAGTAAAAGTTGCTAAGTTTGAGTTCTATGACCATCCTTTCTAACTATTGGGTTGGGAATCAGATAAAGATATGGCAAGGTTATTAAAGTCAAACCATAGAGGCTAGAACATTCGCAGGTTTTTGGATCTGCATTTATTTATGTCATGTTGTAATCTACATGCCACTCCTTTGAATTGAATATGCTGGGAGCTTTTACTTGTCTAATTTAGTTGTCTAAAGAGGCAAAGAAGTGTGAAAAAGTTTGTGCACAAGCTGATGAAAAAGAAGTGCAAGGGAGTACAAGACACTCTTACTTTAAATGGCTTATATAGTCTGAGCTATTGAGGATTAATACACATGGATGTTTATGGGGGAAATTCCATTTGTTATTTAGGGTTTTGTAATACATTGCCATGTACCCAAAACTATGACCAATTACCCTTTTTTTCCTAGCCCCTGTTTGTTTAGATTAGTGGATTTAATTTTTAAAAAAAAAAGGTGATTTCACCACAGCTTACCATCAAAATTTGTGTCCAAAAATGTAATGTCATTCCCGTGGATTGATTTACATATAGGATTAAATTGTAAGGGATCCTTTCTTTTTAAGGGTCAACAGAGTTTGAAATTATGCCCATCAGTTTTAGGTTTCTATTTTGAGAACAACTTTCTCTGGCTTTGTATGGGTCCACTTGTAAGTTTGGTTTTAATATCCACTCAAAGAAGATGGAATCAAGTAGTTAAGAACAAGAGTTAATAGCAAATTTCTGCATAATCTTTTTGGTTATCTGCAATACTACCCTCAAATATTTATCTTTTTAATGTTATTATTAATTCTTTATTTTTTTTAATATTACCCTCAAATAATCATCTCTCTCTCTCTCTCTCTCTCTCTCTCTCTCTCTCTCTCTCTCTCTCTCACACACACACACACACACACACACACACACACACACACAAACACACACACACACACTCATTAGAGGTGCAGTTTTCTAATGGAAGTACTTTAAAGAGGGCCAAGTGCTATTTATCATATGAGCAATCATGCATGTTAAAAAATCAGCTACATGTGTTTTTCTTATTTGATGAGGGCTACTTAGCACAAAATTCAGAACCATTGCTGTAATTATGTTGCTAGGTGCATATCTTATTCCAAATCATTTTGTTCTTGAAGGTATCTGGATGTAGGACGTGACATTGTTTCCAGCTTGCAATATGGGGCCCGATGCCCCTGTGGATATTGTCATATAACAGATGTTGAGAATCACAAGCAAGAAGATCACATGGAGAGCTTTTTCCTAGCTGAAACTGTGAGTCTTATATCTAAATGATAAATCAATCTGTTCTAATAATAGTTTTTTTTCCTGTTTTGTATATTTGAATTGCAAGTCTGTGCTCCTGTGCATAAAGATTTTGGTTTCGATATCATATCAGGATAATAATGTTTTTTGAATTATGATATTTATGTTTGAACAAAGTATTAGTCGGTACCTATAGGTTTCCCAAAAAAGGGCTATTATGTTCCATTGTGCCAAACGGCCCAACACGGATCCGGGGTATAAGGACCGAACACGCCCTGTTGTCATAAGGTCTGGCAAGGTTGTTGAAGTTGCTATTTGCTGCAGCAGAACTTTCGAAGTAGAAAATTTATATTTGATTTATTTTGTTTGTTATGTTGTATATTCATTTTGTTTTTAGTAATAACAACGCCGTCTTTTTTATGGACACTAATAAATTTATAATTTATTTGAATAACTTCAATTTATTTTCTAAGGATTTCAATTTTATTATATCCCAGTACCTATGTCCAAAGTGAAGATGGTGTCCTTGTGTCCAAATATTTTGGAAATGACATGCTAAACTTTCTTATCCATAACATTTGGATACTCATACCCGTGTGCGTGTAACATAGATTGCTATACACAAGTTATGTACATGTCTATATGATGAGGACTTCTCAAGAATCCTTTGTAAAAAGTGTTTTGTAAGCTAATTTGGTTCAATGAAAGTTGTGTGCACGGGCGCACGCGCGCGTGTGTGTATGGAGAGGCATATAGCGGAGCTTATTTTGATGGGTGATAGATTTAAGGGTATGCATGGGTCATTTGTCAGGTGCCTTATCATGCTTGTCTTTCTGCTATTAAGCCTGGCCTCATTGGTACTCCCAATTATTGGTTACCTTACTTATTGGAAAGACTTTGACTTCTTTTAAGCTGAGAATTTTTGTGTGTGCGTTGGTGTTGGGTCCATTGTTTATGTGCTTGGCTGTGCTTTTCGAACATTCAAGAGTGGTTGCAAATTCGATTTTGAGTTTTGATAGGGTAAAGGAGAAGTTTCTTTGGCGAAATGCATGATTGCAATCTTGTAGTGGGTTTGGCTGGAAAGAAATGGTCGAATTTTTAGGGTATTACAATCCCATATGTTTTGATATGGAATATAGTGAATTCGCCATCTATTCTCTAGAGAAATACAAGTATCGAGGAATTTGGCTGATATGTAGTTTTTTTGAATTTCTTTTTGAGGACACCAACCTTGTCCTCCTCCTGTATTACCCTTTTTGAGATGTACAGTAATATAATAGTTTTCATAAAATTAAGTATTTCTTTGTAGAGATGAATTGGCATTGATTTACGTAATATGTTCCTAATTTGAGACGGTGGCGTCGATTTGCTTACCTGGTGTTTTGTTTGGGTAAATATTCTGAGATAGTCAACGCAACCCAAAAGCATTTGATTTTATGCCGTGGTAGACGTCTAGAATTGCAGCATGTATGATAAACTTTGCATCAGGTTTTGATGCTGTAAAACTTTGTTCCTTTTTTTTTTTTTTTAATGCAAGTTACATTCGTGCTCAGGTTAAATATCTGTGGCTGCTATTTGATTTGGCAGTGGGTGCTGATAATCTTGTTGAAAGCGGACCTTATAAGTAAGTTCCTATATGTCATGCATATAGGTTTGTGTACTTAAATCGATTGAGAAGGGTTGGGGGGGGGGGGGAGATAATTTCTAAGGAATGGTTTCTTTTGCAGTTCCAATTATCCAGTGTTTTGTTGTTTGTTCCTTTGCAGTTATATCTTCAGTACTGAAGGCCACCTGCTACCTTCAACCCCTCAAATATCCCTAGTACGTGAACATTGCACATATTATGGTGCCTACTGTAGGAGCCATAATAGCAGCTTGAGGCAAGAACTACACTCTTCTGATATCTTGAGGAAATCCCAAGAAGCAAATGGTAGTGGAGTCCACCATAGAGGTTGGGTGCCCAATGCATTGTTATCTGCCTTACCTGATAGGACGACAAGTTCTGGCTCAGGGTTGGTGAAGGTCGGTGTATTTTATGCTCTGAACATTCTGTTTGTATGCAGCTTCATATGCACATGCTTCTTAGCTTGGGTGCCTGTTTGAAGCTTCAATTAAGTTTGTACTTCATGCTCTTGCTTCTCTTTTCTGCCAATCAGGAGAAACATATAAAAACAATGGGGATACAACTGTTGCATATTATCTCCGTTTCACAATGGTGTTAACATTTGCCATATTGGTCCATTTCAAAATGTTTATAACATGTTGCTTTATTCTGTACTTCGTATTTGACATATCCTTTTTAAAGTCTTGCCCCTCTTACCCCTCAACATTTACACATTTTGGCTCATTATCTCTTCCATTAACCACCTTTTTTCATACACCCACCCAGCTTCTTACACTGTTTATCCATCTTTTCTTACACCCACCCACCTTTTTACTCTCTCTCGCTAGTCTAATATTTGTTCAAATATAAATGTTAAGATAATTGTGAAACGGAGGTAGTATAATTGATAAACTTATTGAGAATGAATTTGTGATTTGCAGGTTTTAATCATGTGACTGCAAACAAGAGAAAAATCACTTCTCTTTGCCCCTAGGAAAGGGTGGATTGGATGTCTCTATAGGATTATTTGTTTTTATAATAGATAAACCTAATGAGTAGAATTTGTTAAACCCCTCTTTTGCCAACTTAATCAAATGTCGTTATTGCCTATAGATCAAGAAGGCATTGAATCTGAAGTTGGTTTTTGCTACAGTAAGATTTATCTATTGCATGGCAAGTAGGTTTGAACCCCATTTTTCCAATTCTATAGATTGATCTGTTGAAATTTTCTTTATGCTTTATAGGGATTTTGCCGAGGACTGAATCATGGACAAAAGATCGGGGTATCATTTGTCAAGCCTCAATTTAAGGCTCAGGAAGTTGTCTCTGTAGATAATAGGGTAGCTAACACAGCTTCTTCTAAGAGCAACATCGTGGTTTCAAGTCCTGCATACACCGAAAGTAATGGGTCTCTTGAAGAATCAAGCAAATCTGAGATGGGAAATCCGAGTCCCCAACAATAACAGCTGGCAGGACGAGAATACCATTGTGCATTAAGTTATATATAGAGGTCTGAGCATCGTGACGTTGAGCAGCTTTCATTACTAGTGTAATGGAAGTGATGACGATTCCATAATGAAGCAAAAGCACTGTAAAATATTGTTATTGTGCCTGTACTTGTAAAACTTGATTAACGAAACATTCACACCTCCATTGACTGAAGACATCAATTAACTATCCGGAGCATCGACCAAAGCCTGACAAAAACAAGGAGCTGTATCTTGATTTGTATCTTGTTGATAATAGCATCATTTGTGGCCTGTTAGCATTTAAAATCTCAGGTTAGATAATGATCATTTGTAATGTAAACAATTTTTTATTCTCTGCTTTATATTTTTGCGAAGTGCTCAATTGTATATACCAGAAAAGAAATTTTGATACATAGAGTAAATTGAATTCTATGTATAGCCGAAAATCTGCATCAATTCAGGCAGTTTCCATAATCTTATAGCACTGACAGCTTGGTAAAGCAATTTGTTGGTTAAAGATCCCTATGTGCAGCAAGTTATGTATGGCAAGGCTGTAGAAATGTACTTGTAGACTTGTAGTAGATTGTTTAGCATCAATTATCATCAATGGCTAATTATTGATTTTGGCATATCAGGTTTAAATAGGAATTGAGATTATTACGTAGTAGATATTGTGCTCTTAATATTAGTCGAAAATGCTGTTCAAATTATCACAATAGTTTAATAGTGATTTTTTTTTCCTTATTTTGGAGAAAAGTTTTCTTATAAAAAAAATTGAAGTAAAAATGGCACAAATTTGTGTTTTTGATTAGTTCTAGAGGTGATCAACAAAGGTCTGATGGCCTAATTCAACCTGAGCCAACCCGGAAAAGTGCGGATTTGGAAGATTAAGATATCTTGTAACTATGAAGAATTGAATAATGATATTCTACTTGCGCAAGGATGGGAAGGAGGGTCGAAGTCGTTTTACACTGTAAAGGTGTTGATATTTGAGCAATACGCTGGTGATAGTTATAGGGTACGGATTATATGTCATCGACCTCATCTTATATTCTATTCTCGCCATTTCATATTATTCATCCTACTTTGATTAATTTTGTCTTAGAGAAAGATTTCTAATAAGAAGATCATTATGTAATGGAGAAGTATTGTTTTTCCAATTAAACTGTTTACTTAATTTACTTGTAATAATAAACTGCTAAATATAGTGCTTTTTTTTTTTTTTTTACTTCATTGTAGTTTAATTTTACCTTCTTTGTCCATTAAAGATTGTCTTATTTGACTTTTATCAATCTCCATATTTTATTTGACTTTTAATAATCTCCAAAGCATATTTTATATGATACGAGGAGAGAGTATTAATTAAATTAAAAGTACCCTTGTATGATAAAATTATCAAATAAGGCTAAAAAAGGGACAGAAATCCCATCCTAGTAATGCACAAGAACGTTCAACAATCAGTGCATAACCCAGCTGGAAGACCCTTGCCAGTTGCCATTCACCCTAACTACCTATCTGTTAGTCCCATCCAAGCCCACCGATTAAGTTTACAAATAACCTTAACAATTACTAGTAAAATATAATTAACCCTCTCTAATCTATTTTATAAATTGGAGAAGATACTTAAAAATCCAGGATCAAATCTCGTCTAACCTTACTTATTTACCTCTAGAGAAGATCTCAAATATAAATAAATGGTAAAAACATTTATAACCGTTATAAACTCAACAACCACTCGAAATTATATATTAATTATATAAATCAATCACAGTAGGTGAGCAGTAGTGCAGTTTACATCGCATCCTTTCTGTTATCTGTCATCTAAAAGAAACGCTGTCCTGTCTGTCAAAGTTGAACCGGGCACCTTCTTCTTCTTCTCTCTCCCAATCAACAAAGACAACCAGATATTTATACATTCACAGCTATTATCAAATACACTCACAAAATTAAAATTAAAAAGTGAGCTTAGACTTTAATAAGAATTTGATCGATCAACCAATTGTTGAGCAAAAATGAGGGAAGTGATCAACATTCACATTGGTCAAGCTGGAATTCAAGTGGGAAATTCTTGTTGGGAGCTTTTCTGCCTTGAACATGGAATTCAGCAAGATGGCATGATGCCCAGGTTTCTTGGTTTTTTTTTTTTTTTTTTAAAAAAATTTTACTTTTATAAATTGGTTTGATCAATTAAACAGTTTTTTGATGCTTATTTTGCATTTGATGAAATAGGTTTGTTAATATTTTCCTTGTTCATTATAAAAATTTTGCTTCTGGATTGGTTTTTGAGATTTATTGATTAAATTTTGGTCTGAAGTTTCTAGTGATGATCAAATATTTATGTTAGAAATTTCTTCATCTTAAAAATCTTTTTATTTTTATTGATATTTAAGTTTGACTAATTGAGTTCTCATGTAGTCATGATTCAGGAAGTAAATGGCAGTATGCTGATATGTTGCTGGATTGGCGCCAAATTTGGCATATTTTCTTCTTCTTTTGAGTAGATGAGGTGAGGCGGGGTAGATGTTAGTTTTCCCATCCCTTCCCCACCTAATATTTGCATACATATCCCCATCCAAATGATGGGTCCAAAATTCATCACATCCCCATCTCGACGAATATATACCTCTAAAATCATTTCGTCCCACCACCCACTTGGGTATCCACACGCACCTATTCCCTACCTTCTCGCACTACCAACCGCCTAATCCTACCCCACCACCCGCCAGGTCCCAACCTTAGACAGTTAGACCTGCATTAAAATACTTGTACATATCCAGTAAAAAATTTATTTACTGAGTACCAAAAGAAAAATTAAAATAAATAAAGAACGAAGTGTACCGAACAAAAAAAAAAAAAGGTACAAACTTAATTGTTCAACAAATATCAAAACCAAATTCAATATAAAGATAGAACCCAATTGTTAAAAATAGTTTTTCTTATTTATAAGTGAATATAGGGTGGTTTTAAGCTTTATCATCTTACATTATTCAATATATTTAAGTGGGTAATGGGGGCAAGGCGGGTAACCTAAGATCCACTCCCGCCGCACCACCTACGAAGGGTGATCACCACCTGCAAACTCTGGATCCACCCCCGCCCCAATGGGGAGAGGATGGGGCAGCACTCCTATTTGACCAGTTCCACTGAAATCCTTACTCTTGATTTTAATGCTAATTTGGGTAGATTTTGTTAGTCCGTCTTGAGGGGATCAAATCAAGGTTACACCATATACCAAATATATAATGTTTTCAACTGTCTCAAATTCTTCATAGTTAATGTCTGTCAAATATTTCTTGCTAATTTAAAGTAGTTATAAACTTATAATCAAAGGTAGAGAAATGGTGTCACAGAGGAACTGAATGAATTTTCTAGGAGTCATTTGTGATTGTTGTAGTTATTGACAGTTGATGCCTCACATAGATATAGCTAAGATCAGATATAGCTGGATTTCCATTTCCACAACATCTACTTTAGTATTATAGTATAGTGTATGATGTCAATGACCTGAGGTAGAACACTAAAGTCAATGGGCGAAATTTTTACTAGCATTGGAAACTAGATTGCAGATTATGCTGTCTGCTTTGCTACAAATTAGTCCGTGTTCTTAATTAGATTTAAGTTGATTAATTGTTGAACATAAGCGATAAATCGTGATTGAAAGGATGGTGTTAATATTTTCATGGAATGAATGACTTGTCAAGGTGATCATGTAGTGTTTGTACTTCTTATGTATCTGATTGTGATAAAACATTTTGTTCCTTATATCATGTGCAAAACTTTCATGATTTGGATATGATTTTCTCGAGTAGATGATCAATCCTGAAATCATCACAGTAGCTCCCAACTTTTGTTTTATGTCTAATTTTTTCCTTATTCATTTCTTTCAGTGACACATCTGTAGGTGTTGAAAGTGATTCGTTTAATACCTTCTTCAACGAGACTAGTTCTGGAAAGCATGTTCCTAGAGCTGTGTTTATCGATTTGGAACCAACTGTGATCGATGAAATACGGACAGGACCATATAGGCAACTTTTCCATCCAGAGCAGCTCCTTACAGGGAAAGAAGATGCTGCCAACAACTTTGCTCGGGGACATTATACAGGTTGCTGGATTATTTTTAAGCAAGATGCCAAACTCAGCTACTTCATGTTACACTCTTCACTTATTAAATGAATTGTTGATTTTCCTGGTTTGCAGTTGGAAAGGATATGGTTGATTTGTGCCTTGACCGGGTAAGGAAATTGGCCGACAGTTGCACTGGATTGCAAGGCTTCTTGGTATTTAATGCTGTTGGTGGTGGCACAGGTTCTGGTTTTGGGTCATTGCTTCTAGAGCGCTTGTCTGTAGAGTATGGGAAAAAGTCAAAACTGGCATTTTCAATCTACCCTTCTCCTCAGGTATGTGATTTATAATTTGTTTGACTTCCCCTGTGCATATTCATATTATGAAAGCATGAAAATCATGGTGTTAATTTTCAATGTTTAGGTATCAACAGCAGTTGTCGAACCTTACAACAGTGTCCTCGCCACTCATTCTCTCCTGGAGCACACTGATGTCGCTGTGCTTTTAGACAATGAAGCAATATATGATATATGCAAGAAATCGCTAAGCATTGAGAGGCCTACATATACCAATTTGAATCGTTTAATATCCCAAGTAGTATCTTCATTAACAACTTCTTTAAGGTTTGATGGAGCCATCAATGTGGATATTACAGAGTTCCAAACTAACCTTGTGCCATATCCTCGAATTCACTTCATGTTATCATCCTATGCCCCAGTTATCTCTGCTGAAAAGGCTTACCACGAGCAGCTTTCAGTACCTGAGATTACAACGGCTGTATTTGAGCCTTCAAGTATGATGGCTAAGTGTGACCCAAGACATGGAAAGTACATGGCTGCCTGTTTGATGTACCGTGGTGATGTTGTTCCCAAAGACGTCAATGCTGCTGTTGGCACTATCAAGAACAAGAGAACTGTTCAATTTGTGGACTGGTAAGTTTAGTATTGCATCTAAAGAGTCTATGTCTAGTAGTATCAATTTAGGTTAGCAAAACCACATTAGTGTACATATTTCTCGTGATTAACTGATAACGTTTTGCAATTAGTAAAGCAGATTGTGTAATGCCGTACACCGGAAAGGGATGGGGAGTGGATACAACTGCAAGCTATTTTGGCTTCTTATTTTCTTCAACTTGAAAAAATTAGTAAAATGCAGTTTTGATCAGAAGAGATTTATGCTCTGTAAATCAGATCAAGAGAACAGATTGGGGGCTAGTTTTGTGGGAAGATATATTTTGATCAAACCTTGCATCATATTCTGGCCTACCTTTAGCTTATTGTTCAAAAATGAAGGCTCTCCTTTTAACAATCTTGGTTTTAAAAATGTTACAGGTGCCCTACTGGTTTCAAGTGTGGAATCAACTACGAACCACCAACAGTAGTACCAGGTGGTGATCTTGCCAAGGTGCAGCGTGCAGTCTGCATGATCAGCAACAATACCGCAGTGGCTGAAGTTTTCTCCAGAATTGACCATAAATTTGATCTTATGTATGCCAAGAGAGCATTTGTGCACTGGTATGTTGGTGAAGGTATGGAAGAAGGTGAGTTTTCAGAAGCTCGAGAGGACCTAGCAGCTCTCGAGAAAGACTATGAGGAGGTTGGGGCTGAGGGCAGTAATGAAGAGGAGGAAGAAGAATACTAAGGTGGTGGCATCACAGGGTCAATGTTAGCAGTTTTATCTCTCTAGTACCCTTTTTTGCAGTGTATTATTGTAATTTATTCTGGTGGATAATTGATTTTCGAGTGAAATTCTTGAGTAAATTTATCATTCAAGTGGCATCTACTATATACGTTGTTGTTTAGGGACTGGGATTTTGAAAAATGTATATCCTTTCCAAATTGTGTAAAAATCTAAAATTATAGCTTGATGTCCAATACCTATTTTTCTTTCCTGTTTTTTCATCGTCAACTTACTGTATTATTGAACTAAAGGGTATGATCCAAACATTTAAAACATCCCAAAACTTGTAAGAATCTTGATCTATAGGTCTATACTGATCCAACGCTTTACTGGTTATTGTTGCGGCTTTGTAAAGCAAAAGAGGATTTATGTCATGAGCATTCCAACCACTTTATCTGTTGCATTTCATAGTAAAACCTGTATCCGTGAAAGATTAATTGATAATAAGCGGATAGTAGAAAGCTGAGTACTGTGCATTAGTTGAGCTTGCTAACAGCATTGTGTTTTTATTGAAGTTTGGTTAACTTCACTAGCAAGTGAATAAGTGATGGCCCAAAACACAGCAGGTTGATGTAGTCACTTCTTTGCATTCTTCCTAATGATGTACATAAGTGCATGTAACTATGCATGATAATAAGATAAACAAGCATCAATAAGCATAACATAAGAGCAAAAGAATGATTATAAAGGGGCATAAATGTGACTATTAACGTACTTATCATCTGTCCTAGAGCTGTCAATTCAGGTTTTTGAGTCAGGTTCGATTCAGGTCATGTCGGGTTATTTAGTTGGGGCCAACTTCAGATGATAGATCGCTTAGTTCGATTTTGGGTCAAATTAGGTAATGTAAATATCAAAATGGAATTAAGGGCATTAAGGTAGATATATTACTTTTCAATTCGGTGCAAGAGCCAGAATGTAGAATGCCAGAAAATGTTTAAATAATAATAATGATTAGAAAAGAATTATTGACAAAGTTATGGAGGCCAATTATTTTATAATAGATATTTTCAACGAAGCCTATTCCCCTCATCAACGGTTAATGAATATTTCCGCCTCTATTACGAGGGTGCCACTATCTCACGTCTTAGCTTACTTCTTATATTAGTCTTAGGAATTATAATGACAAAATATTCATTATTTGGGTCATTATTACACATATAATATGATGAACATGATTATTTCAATTTCAAAAAATTAAAATTAGTCATAAAGTTATACATGCCATTTTGCCACATAATTGTATCTCAATGTTTATTAAATTATTTATTTTTTAATATATTCATTGCATGGTAGCAAACTTCAATTCATTACATGTAAGTGTATAAGACTATAAGTCCAACGAATAAGTTTATTGTCAATCTGAAGAAAATCCATTTTGTAGCGACCGCTATAAAAACTATGACAAATAAAGGTGTTAATGAATCTAGCTGGCTAGTGAACAATTTAATCTTGATATAGAATTGTTATGAACTAAGCACAACTGAACTCGCCTCGAAAAGTTTGTGCATTAGGCTCGACATATTTTTTTTTTTTAACTATTGTATCTTACCTAATATGAACTTTAATTTGAAGTAATACTCTCTCTGTCCCAATTTAGTTGTTACACATTCCCTAAAAACTCATTTCTATCTAGTTTACACATACACTTCTCTTTTATTTATGTAGTGTTGGTATAATAATAAAAGTAAACAACAAAAAATTAATTAACTATGAAATTTGTGCTATATACTTCTTATTAAGCTTTAATCGATTTTACTCAAGTGGAGTTTTCATGGTAAGTGAACTTGAAACTAATGTTTGAAAAAGTTTGAGTTCTGGCTCGAGCTTGACTACTTAAAGTTATTTTCGAGAAGATTTGGTTCAAACTCAGTCTCAGTCGATTAGGCTCGTAAAGACCCTGATGAGAAACCAATAGTTTATGTAGCACCCGGCCACCAAGGAGGTCGCTCATTCCGAGACTAACACCAGCCAAACACGCTTAATTAACTATAAAGTATGATTTGTACATCACGCTTCTTAAAACTAAGGTGCACTTTGTTGTACATCAAATCCTTTTTAAAGCAAAGCAGGGAAATCACATACAGTTACAAAAAAGAATAAAGGACTTGTTAATACAATGAACTTCGAGTAATGAATAAACCATGTATGTAACCCTTTCATCATTGACATTATTAAAGAGTACACAAGTAAGAAAATGTGTATACATATGTATATCATGATACAATATAATCACGCAAGAGATTAGGAGAGGACATATTCCATCTCTCTTAAAACTCCTCGTCAATAAATTTCCAACAAGCTTAAAGTTGATCCATTCCTAATACTTAACCAAGGTCAAAATTAAGTAAGAAAAAAAAATATAAACTAAAACAAGATTGATAAGGTCAAAGCCAAAGAGTTTTTTCATTTTACTCTATTGGCTTTCACCCCTCTCAACTAGCAAAGTTGAGGTGTTTTGGTTAATCAACCAAGGAAGCCACGAACAAATAGGCGAAAATGGGCTATCAAATTGAACAAAAAGATGAATAAAGTGGAGGAAGATCCCAAAGGGATTCAATAGGATCATGTACAAAATCGATGAACTCGTGTAATCCATTACTAGCCGCGTTGTAGTAGGATGCTGAAATATCCTTTTCCATTTTTATCTTCTCCATCTCTAACAATTCCGCGCCCATTGCTTGTGGAAGTGCTACATTTTTAGGCATCTCTGACGTCTCTTGGCTTTGGTTTTGGCAGCTTAGACTTAGAGGTAGCTTTAGCATGCTAGGATTTATGTCACAACCCCCAGGCATACCACATTGGAATAATGTTGAGTAATCAACTAACTCGTAGTTTCCAACAAAACCATTCAGTTGAGGCCTATATACATCACCATTATACTCCCTATTTTGATGTAAACCTTGGGTTTGTGCACTAAAATTATCAAGACTTTTATACCCAAAATTATTCTGAAATTGAGCTATACTACTATTAGTACTAGCTAAGTTATTAAAAGGGTTAGAAAAAGCGGTGTTAGCAGTACTTGAGGAAAATGCAGCCGAATTTGTAGTTGAGGGGGTAACTAAAGTATTAGCAACTTGATGATCGACATTGCTTGATTTTTGGGACTCTAGTTTTTTGTTTTTGAGGAGGTTTTTGATCCTAGAAGCAACAGGGGAGTTAGGAGAAACATGAGTGACAACAAAATTGGTTCGAGTGTTTGACCCTCGAAGCAGGCAGGCTGCTTCGTCATAGGCACGAGCAGCTGCCTCCGCGGTCTCAAAGGTGCCTAGCCACATCCTAATCTTTTGGGTTGTGTCTTTGATCTCGGCCACCCATCTCCCACTCGGCCTTTGCCTCACCCCTACAAATTTGTTGCTTCTATTCACGCTACTTGATGATTTCTTTGATTTTCCTTTGAGCTTTGTGACTTTGTTTATTGGGATCACACTTTTCGCCCCCATTTGACCAATGAAGTTTTGTTGAAATTGTATCTCCATAGAAATTTTCGAGTTTCTTAAACACGCTCTCTCTTTGTTGAATCAAAGGGCTCGAGTTAATCGAAAATTGAACATAGGAAAGGAAGACATGTAAGGATGAATTTAAAGGGGTTGAAAGAAATTGAGGGAATGGAAGTTAACTAAGAATGGTCATTTTCATGTAAGTTAGAATTAGTGGGGGAGTTGTCAACATGTCTTTCATCAATTCAAATATTTGGTACTTAAAATATTTTGTGCTCTTCGTGAGAATGTATGATTTTATAAAAAGATATGCTAAGCTGACTATCTTCGTTGAAATCGTTATCTTTTCTAGTTTAGACTAATTGTTTTTGTTACAAATGATGTGTTACTGCTAGAGATGTCTTTGTCCTAATCTAAGTAAAATGACTAAAATACCCTCTAACAACCATTAACAAGGTTTAATGATTGTATTAATATGTCATCCTTCTCTAGATTAATTGTATTCATCTTCTTCTAGTAGGGATCATCTTTGGGGACCATGAGTATTCATGTTAATTAGCTTATTCTATATCTAGAAATGTTATAAATATTATTATCATTGTAAAAAAAAAATACAATTTAACGCCAATTATTTAATCCATTATTCAACTCATTTTAAGAATTAAAAAGTTCACATACTTTATCCCTATTCTCTATTGAAAGAACCTTGACATATTCGATCACAAGTCTTGAATACTACCTGCAAAATTTCATTAAGATAGCTTGCATTCACATGAATTTACAAGCTTTTCAATTTCAGATAATTACAAGTAAAAAGAAAAAATTGACATCTATTACTCATTCAAGTTGTCTAGAAGTTATAGTAAAATATTCACAATTGTTTCCAAGCACAAATTTATCAATTGTTTCAAGAACAGAATCTAAAAATTTCAATATCATATCCTACTGTCTACTCAGTCTATTCTGTAGTCATTAGGAAACAGTATCGGCGTATTGCCATTACTAAATGGCTACCAAAATATCCTCCATGTGACCATGTCTTTACAAGATATAAGTTCACAAAACTACAATGTTGTCACTACAGATTCTGCTTACAAATTAGTATTAACTTAATTAATTAGACGTGTCAAAACGATCAAAAATTCGAGTAAGGTCAGATCTTAAAATCAAATGTCATGTTCAAACCCACAAAAAAGTGACGGACTTGCCAGGCCAAAGCAGACTTTTTAGGCCGAGTTACCGAGCCAAGCCATAGTTTATCACCTCTACTTTTCATAGATTAAGCAAATTCACAACCGGCTAAGGGTGACTACTAAGATCACATTTATTTTTCTATGTTAAAAGCGGGCCAAATTTTGAAATTGAAATAGAAAGTAGTAATTCCCATGAACTTTCAATGTACATGTTTTGAAATTGAAATAGAAAGTAGTAACTCCCATGAACTTTCAATGTACATGACATCGTTGTTAAATTTCCATTTAACTTACAGCCTTACAGGAGGTTATATAAGTGAATTCCTCTATTTTGTAGAAAGTAAAGCTTTTTAGTAAAGGATATAATATTCCACTTCCAAAGTTAACATCAAACAAACAGCTCACGTTAATATATTTCAAAGACAAGTAGCTAACACTCCCTGCATCCATTAATATTACCTCATTAACCTTTTTAATTTGTTCCTTATAAGATTGCTCTATTAAACTACACTACGAAATAACCCTTAAAACTTTATTCAAGCAATCGAGCTACGTTGGTTTACTTGAAATCCACACTAGGCCCTTGACTAAGCCTTGCACCCAATCAATCCACCCCTGAAATCCATACTAGGCCCTTGACTACGCCTTGCACCCACTCAATACACCCTTGAAATCCACAATCTGTCTTTACTTAATTACATATACGATTTACAAAAAAAAAAAAAAAAATTATTTTAAAAAAAAAAAAAAAAAACCTACTCAGTACTACTCTTTTAAGGGACGGAGAATAACATAACACAAACATTCTACCCTTACTAGTTTCCTGGGTTGGGCAACAAGAATAGCAAATACACAATTGAATTGTTTTTGTTATAGTTTGAAAACTATTAACACATACAACAGCATGGAACCATTATAAAAGTAATAAGATATCAAGCAAACCTCAAACAATGAATACATACACGATACACCCAAAAAAATAAAAAATAAAATAAAAAAGGTTACTGCAGAAAGAAAGACACCAAAATTGCTACAAAATTGATTCACAAATTTTTTTTTCAAATTGTCATGAAATTGAACGCTATTAGACAACAAATATATGACCTCACACTCTTCTATTTCCTTTTCATCTGTTATAACTTAAGATCACAGCAAGATAACTGATTACAGACAGCTCATAATATACACATTGTACATTGATATCTGATCTTCCCCAACCAAGACAACACATTGACCAACTACATGCCACCAGCAAAATTTACGATCGAGGATATTATATATGCTATGAAAAAAGAATAATGAAATAGAAGACAATAGACCTGCTCACATGTTGAGCGGGCTTTCACATAAAGATGAAATGAAGACGCCTGAAACTATTGGGAGAGAATTGACTGCAAGGCCAACACCTGCTGAGGTTGAAGGGATGACCAGGTCGATGCAAGAGTCGAAGGCGGTAGAGTTTGTTGAAGTTGCCTCAATAAATTGACCATTCGGCTTGCAGTTTGCTCTGTTGCAAGATCTTTACCCGCACACAAGACCTAGAAGCACCATAAGTGAGCAAAGGTTTAGTGGAACAAATCAGAGACGCTAGATATTACCAATTTTTGGCAGATATAAATTAGAGCAACACTTAGTTTACACAATAACTTTCAGCAAGAGATTAGAAGGTGTGTAACGGGTTAAAGGTACGCAAATTAAGAAAACATGCCAAAGTTCCCACTTTTCTCTAAGGCAAACACCGAGGCATATGTGATGTATGCAGGTGCTCAGCGATAACCCCAGTGTACCTCAAATATGCTATCCAAGTTCAAATCTCACTTATTTACAGGTAAGAATTATAGTTTAACAAAACGCTGATAATGACTTGAGACTTAACTGCCCCATAAAATGGTAGTTCAAGTTAAATTAGCATTCATGAGATAAAAAATTCACATCTGACAGTAAGGTGTACCTCAGCAAATACTGCTACTATTTTGGACAAGTACTGATTGTTCGGTCCTAACAAATCTCCATCAGACCTGCAGAGAACACAATTGCAAATGTTATAACAGAGAAATCATGTGAAATAGTGATATTAACAAATACAAACCTAAACATACAACAACCCCTACATCCCTTTTTCCATAACTCCAACAAAAGATTTTTTTAAAAAAATCCCATTACAATTCTTAAAGTTTTAAAGTGAGAAGGAATGGGACCAAGTTTCGCATAATAACATGCATTTAAAGCACTTTACCTCTCAACCATGGAACAAAGTTGATCATGTACAACCTTGGCTTCAATTAGATCTCCTTTAATTGGCAAGCAATTTAACCACATAGGAACAACCTGTGAAGTCAGATGAATATATATATGTTAAAAGGATGAAAATCAAACAAGGCACATTTAATTACTCCCTCCGTCAACTTTAGTTTGCCTCGTTATCGAGGCACGTAGTTTTAGGTAGAGTTTGGGAGTGTAGCAAGTAATAATTATTTTATTAAAAAATAGAAGTGATAAGAGATGGTGAGAAATTTTTAAAATTGAATGAGTAAGAAGCCTTAATTTTTAGTAGTGTGAAAAAAAAAAAAGCATTTAAAAAAAATGGTGGGTCCTTGACTCCTTGCCAAATAAAAGAAATGGGCAAACTATATTGAGACAAACTAAAAAGGAAACTACAAACTCGTTCCGTCATTCATCATCATTTTTCATTTTTTGTTTTCTGTTTCTTTGAAAACTAAAAACAAAAAAAGGAAACCACAAAAAGTGGTTTGGACTTTTTTGTTGACAATTTTCAAAATTAAAATAATTCTAATAAATTTGACTACTTTTGTATTATTTTTATGAAATATTTCACGACATTAAAAATTAAAAAAAAAAAAACAAAAAAACTGAAAACTATAGTGATGCCGAACAGACCCTAATTTAGATACATGTGGTATAATTATTAAAATAAGAAATACAAGTAAATAGTTTTTCATTCATTCAAAATCCGATTGTCAATTAAAAAGCTCCAATGGTCAGATTAAAATCACCACCATTACAGAAATTGAGTAGCCGACCCCACTTATGAGATTAAGGCTTTGATTGATTGATTATAGAAATTGAGGGTCAAATACATTCAACTAAAAAAGATGAGCATAACAGATAGACACGTTCGAAATACCTGAGCAGCATCTATACTATCACGATGAAATTGGCATATCTTCCCAAGAGCTGAAACAGCATTGTCATATGCCATCACATTCTCTGCACGTGTAGCATTGGGATGCCTTATCACAGCATCCAATCTTGAAAGAGCCTCTGGATTTAATCCCAAATTACTTGTCAACAGATGATATTATGGAAATCCAAATTGTGAAGAGAAAACACAAGTAAATCACACCTCTAACAAGAGGCTTGAACACAGATCCACCAAACTCGGCACAAACACCAAGACCATAAACAGCCGCCTGCAGACCAGAAAATTATATAACTAAAATGCCAAGTGCAACTCTAACAATTACACAACAGAAAAAGAATTTGGAGTCACCTGCCGAACATCTGAGTTGTCATCATTGCAAGCTTCCAAAAGGAAAGGAAGGAAGGTATCATAGTATCTGCATTACCAACACATGCAATAAATATATAAGATAAAGAAGCAAATAAAAGGATATAACAGTGAAAAATATCAGTTATAGTATCCACCTAAGTGCTGCTTCACGACAATGCTCCACAACATCATCAAAGATACAAATGGCGATTCTTCTTTCTTCTGTCGTTTTATCCTTTCCCTGCATGCCAATAAACCTCATTAATTCACCCCCAACGTGAAACAAAGCACAGCACAGACACACATTTGGATGGTTTGCATATTAAGAGAGAATGCTATATTACTAACAAAGCTCTAGTTCTGATGTAATACCCCAAACAATGGCAATTACTTTCATGATTCAATTTACATGTATTATATAGATTAATTGTAATTAAATAAAAAGTGTTGAGAATATATATGAGCATAAGGTCATCATATAGCAAATCACCACAAAAGATACTCCTCAACTAAAAGGATTAAAGGAATTATCTGCAAACAGAAAGCTACTCCGCAACTAGAGCTAGTACAATATGCAAAAATATTTACATAGCGATTGGTTGGCAGTACAATATAGCAAACACAGGAATAACACCTAGTTTATGAAAACACCTAGTTTATCCAGCAACTTAAATTTTTGACAGACACAGGAGCTCAACCAACACATTTGGCACAAAAGAATATCTACAGTGAGCCTCATAACTCTATGAAAACAATGACTGTCTATAAAATTACATGTCTCAAAACCATAATACCGCAAAACCTAATAATTTTAATGTTACTTGAACAAAAAGTTGTGCCAGGGAGATAGAGAACCTACCCACATAGGTGTCAAGTATGACGAGAGCTCATCAAAGAAGGGCAAGAAAGATGCCTTGAACGTCTTGATTAAAGTGCCTAAGCAATCACCAATCTGGCTCAAAACGTAAAATAAGGATTAATAGCATCAAAAAATTCTAAGTTAAAACCTAATAATAATAATAAATAAATCAAGCACATCTCAAAAGATCTAAGCCTACAATGCTTTTAATACTCACCTGATCAAAAAGTTCTTCTTCTTGCTCATTTTCTTCTGTAAGAATTTCTCCTTCTTCAGCATCAAAATCCTCAGCTTTAATCCTTTCTGCTCTCTCTGCCTTTCTGGAGGCGCTCGCTGTAATAACCTGCTTTATCTCATCTACTATAATTCTTACTTGGCTTTCATCCAGAAGTGTTCCAGATACCTAACAGAAAAATGGAGTTAGCTTTGCCACCAAATAGTTAAGGCAACCATAATATATTTAATAGGATGATTTTTGGCAAAATTATAAGCAGTAACATGCTAGAGTACCAAGGAATCTTAGGTTGAATCAAACAATCTATACTAAATATTAGAAAGCGTATTCAAACAAGCTTAGGTGTCATGTGGCGCTCTCCTCATTTAATTGAGTCTTTTATTTCATGTGTTTAAAAACAAGGATTGTACTAGATTTGAACTCAAAATCTTAAGTAAAAGCTAAGGTATAACCACAAAGATATTACCATAATACATGTTATTCTCTCAAAAGCATTCCTAAACAAACTTAGGTGTCACATGGTGCTCTCCTAATATAATTGAAGCTTTTCTTTCATGTTGGATTGTACAACATTTGAACTCACAACCTCTAGTTTAAAAACAAAAGGTTGACCACTAAACTATTATAGTATTACCACATTACATGTTTTTCTTTTAAACTTAAACATAATAAGGATTTGAATCATGGCAATAATGCGATAACTCGAGGCATCGCCCAGTCCCAAAAAGTAGTTATTTGCTAATCAAAGCTTGAAAATTAGACATCAGCGCTAAAATTTCACAGGCCTATGAGAGATACCTGAATGCACTCATTAAGCGCATCAAGCATGTTTGAACAGATCTCCACTTCAGGTTCCTGCAAAATTAGTAGGATAATGAGGGTCATACAGATTCACCAGGGAGATGAAGGAATACATGCAAAATCAAGCTCATCAATACTATAAACTAATCAAGGAAACAGAAAAAATCATCACCTTGTGTAAAGCCTCTACCAAAGCAGGTATAATATAATCAGACAATTGCTTAACATAAGACTCGTTCCGACCTTGGGCCAACCCCTTCTCCACAGCTAACTTAGCAGAGCGCAGCAACTCTGGCATGGCTGTAAAACACAAAATTAAAGAGCACATCAAAGCTATAGCTGATATAGGCAAGAGCATAGAAGCAACAAACAAACCAAATACCTGACACTGCTGCCTTTCTAACTTCCTCGTGGAAATAAAATTTAAGAAGGGGAACCAATGTAGGAGCAACCTGCAAATTTGTAAGAAATTTATCAACTTCAACCACCCATAGATTAAAGGAAACCAAGAAAAAGCAACAGGCCTTCAGCCACAGATGATTTGCTACAGAGGAGCCAGCCTCAATCAACTGAGAAAACACTATACAAAAGAATAAATTATGACCTGGTCAATCCACGGAAAGAAGCCTTCTTTTAGCTCGTCAGCATAGCAACACAACATGTTACAAGCCGTAGCTTTCTCCTCAAGAACACTGGTCTTGATTCCAATCCTTTTGTCCCCGAGGGTGATGGTCTCAATGCTATAATTGAAGCATTAAAATCAGGTTGTACTTTCTTATATGAAAGCAAAATGAACATGTGCATGGTTCATTTGTGTGGTGATAGAGACATCATGAACCAAATATCAGTAGATATAAGTCTAATTAAACAAGCATAGCCATAGAAGACCTAGTCTCTTCAACTCAATCAAGAAAATCAGCATAAAAGAAGCACTACTGAATCTAAAACAGTTCCAATCAGTAAAAGCAATTATGAGTTCGTAAGAGGTTAATCCTAAAGAAAAGGTTGAACATGCAGAAGATGAGAAGACAATCAGATCATAAAAGCCAAAAGTACCTCTCGTCATCAGATTCATCAATATCAGCATCTGAATCTGCTGATGTGATTGTCACATCAGGCTTAAGTTGAGCAGAGTGAAGCAATGGAGGCATAACAACACTCATATAAGGAAGGAAATCTTGCCCCAGACATTTGCAGAGTCTTGCCCATGCCTGAAAAAAATATTTGTAAGAACAGCAGTTTGTTTATAGGAATCGGCTCAGAATATCAAAACTATACAAAGGTGTCAACGTAATTTTATAGCTAAACCTGAAGCATATAACTAGTTGTTGGATCATCAGCTTCCATTTGTGATCCTTGTAACTGCATCAGAACGTCCATGACCTATAACACAGAAAAGAACCATATATTAGCTCATACAGCAAATAATAAGTAATATATTCAGATGAATAGATCCTAACCAGTTCATGACTAGTACAGTAACTGTTTCATAATAAGAGCAATTATGTTTTTAAAGTACCTGCTTAGCATCATCTCTAAACTTCTCTTTCCCAACAGCCATTCCAACCAAGCTTATACATTCCATTGACTTTGCACGTAGCATACGATTGGACTTGTCAGTTGCATTGACCAGTATAGCCTTAAGGTATGGCATAACGGCATCATAATACTTCTGGAAAAGCTCCTGCAATTAGAGGTAATGTCAGAAAATACATCAAGGTCATCAACCCAATGATAACTCAAATGTTTGTAAACTTAGGGTACGTACCTGTGATGAATCAGCAACTGATGCTAATGCAGTCAAAGCCCCTTCCTGAACCATTTGCTTTCCATTCTGGATAACATAGCACAAAAACACTCAAAAAACTACTTCAAAACATTAATTAAGAAACAAAATTACAATAAATATATGACCCAATACTGACTGAAAAATAACAATCAGATGCATGCACAAAAGAGTTAATATATCTGTGCAAGTGATGAAGGTACCTGCAAAAGGACGAGCAATTTGCTCACAATACCATCTAAATATGGTGTCAAGATCTCTGGAGTGCAATTTTCACTGAAGTTCAACACAGCTGAAGCAGCATGTGCCTACCATACACAGCAAAAAGAAGATGAACAAAACAAAAGTCAAAGGCTATTTTATCAAATTCATTTAACAGAAGCATAGCAAGAGAGAACAAGAACTGATGGCAACATGACATGATTACATACATGACATAAGTTCATAAACTTAAATAATCCCTTAACTAATGCATTTAACCCAATACTGTTAGGATCGAGATTCTACCTGGGACAAGTGCAGTAGCCTCTAACTGAAGCTAATTTAGACTTAGACCTGATCAAATTCTATATGTAATGCTCATTTTCAATATTCAAGCACGCTAAAAAATCACTCTATTTTTGTGAATCTAGTAAGTAGAATTCAAAATTCAGTGACTATAGGTAACACAGACATTTTAAGGACACCTGTCAAGTATCCCAAACATATGCTAAGCCAACACACCCCTACGACACACCTCTGAGAGACAGACCTAGTGTATGTGATTTTACGGTGAAGCATCATTGCCTCAATCAAGAATTGTAATATACTACCTCCGTTTCATATTATTTGCAACTTTTGCAAAAAATGGATGCTAGTCATGCTACAAATTTGCTACAAATTTTTTCCTTTCATTTTTAGGTTATCATTTCTCTCTATCTCTCTCCTCATCACATGCATCCATATGTTTCTCTCTCCATTTTACACTCACAAACAGATTTTGCCTAGGAGTCCTTACGGTCTTCAAAGTTGCAAAATAATATGAAACGGAGGTAGTATTATTTTTGTAAGTATAATATAAATGATAAAAATCAAATTATAAAAATGTTATCGATAATTCAATAGGTTTGACATGTATATTTTGTCTATATGGAGAAAAAATTTCTAAAAAACTACCCCCAAATAAACCACTTTTCTAAATAACCACCCTTTTTTTTACGAAATTAAAAAAAAAAAAAACCACCTGCAAAAACACACAACCAGTAGGAATCACCCCCCCTCCTTAATTCCAGCCTGTTTTCCAACTCAGAGCCCACGTGTCACGACCATATTGGTCAAAAATAATAAAATTTTAAAAAGTTTTAATAAAATAAAATTAAAAAAAAATAATCCCAACCCCCTTCCACTTCTCCAGCCATCCCATCAGAAGCAACCAATCTCACCCAAACCAACGACCTTCCGGACCACCCCCACCCCAACCAGCCGCTACACTTGTCGGCAAACCCCACCCAGCCCCCACCCCTGCTTGCAAAATTCCAGGGCATGAATTAAATTAGGGTTCTTGCAAAATTAATTTGGGGTTTTTTTCAAATTGATCCATTTCTGGGAATTGGTGGCTGATTTTGGTTGTTTGGAGGTTGAATTAAGGTTGCTAGAATTGATTGATGTCATAGCAGTGCTGCAGGGGCTGAACTGATGGCTCTAGCGGTGGTTTGGGCGGTGCCGAGGAGAAGGAAAGGAGGCAGAGAAGAGAGGGAGGCTGTGGGGTGATCGTCTGGCAGCGCAAGGCTGAGTTAGGTGGTCGCCGGTCAAGGGCGTTGGGAAGGTATGGAGGCTGTGGTGCAGTGGCAGCGGGATTGAAGAAGGGGAAGGGGGTGGTTGCCGTGGGGCTGGTTTGGGGATTTTTGTTTAAAAAAATTAAAAAATAAAAAATAAATTTTGGCCAATAGGGTGATGACACGTGGACCCTGCAGTCGGAATAGAGTAGGGGTGGTGATACCTACTGGTTTTGGGCTTTCCAGGTTTTTTTTTTTAATTTCGTAAAAAAAGTTGGTTTTTTTTAGAAAAGTGGTGAATTTAGGGGTGGTTTTTTAGAAATTTCCCGGGAGAAAATGTAACATAATTTTTTTAAAGTAATCATTTCCTTCCGTTTTATCCTACTAGTGTCTAGTGCCTAGTGCCCAAGTCCATAAAAACTAGATTATGTAAGGAGTCGTAACTCATGAGCTCAACCTCTAACCCAATTAGACACACATGCTTTGTCACAAAAAGACAATTCCTTGCATCAAAAATTACCCACACCAACTAAAAAGAAAGATAATAAACGAAGGTATTGGTTGAACACAGTAAAAATAAAAGCTATATTACTTGTAACAATGCCAATACAACAAAGCTACCTGGACACGAGGATTTTGGAAATCATCCATTGAAGATGCCAAAGCAGGCAAGACACGATTGTGATATTGCATTTGCAAATCTGGCCCCAAATCCGTTGATAATTGACCGATTGCATTAATAGCGGCCCAACGCACACGAGGATGTGGGTCTTGAAAAGAATTTAGCACCATTGACACCACTTGCTCTAAGTTCTTTATCATCACCTGTCAACTCAAGTTGCAAAAGAAACTCAGTTACCTAACACTAAACCCCCAAATCCATTAAGTATGACAAAACAAAGAATTAACACAATGTATACATTAAAATTTGCACAGGAAAACCCCTACTCATCGAAAGCTCAAAAGAATTAAAGATAGTACCTTTGAGCAACCCTCTGCAATTTGAGCCAAACAAATTAATGCAGCATGATGCTTTTGCCATTCGGGAGCAGCCAGATAAGCCGGCAACACCTCCGAAGCAACAGGAACAATGGTATTCCCTCCCAACGAAATCGACAACCTATCCAAGCACTCCTGCGCAACACTATAATTACTAGACTCCCCGGCATCCTCGTCCTCGGTATCAGCAGTATGCCACACAGGATCATCCTCAATATCAAGCAACATCTTCATCAATATCCCAAACAACCTGTGAATAAACTGTGGCAACTTCCTCATCATACCAGGCGCCCTCTCTCTCGCCTCAGCAAGTGTAATCACAAACTCAATCGCCAAATGCCTCGTCCCTTCCTCAAGAGTCTCCGCCTCCGCAATCTGCAACATTGCCCCAACAACATCAACCAACTGCCTCCTCAAAAACCTCGGCTCGGTCCCGGCCAAATCAATCAACAACTCAAGCGCCTCCTGAGCAGTAGCCTCCTGCCCACAATTCAAAGCCTCCGTCAACGTCTGCATCATCGGAGGTAACAAATCCTGAAACCTATCGCGATCCGAAGCACTCGTTAAGCATTGTATGAAATTAATCGTAGCTCCAAGCGCAGCAATCCGAACCTCGGCACTCGAATTTCCACCCAAACATTGAAAAAACACATTATAAAGCGTATCCAAATGCGGAACCAATGTTTCCCCAATATACTGCGCCAATTGCGCAAAAATCAACAACGCAGATTCTCGAAGCTTCGGATTATCCGAAGTAACACACTGAAACATAAACGGCAAAAGCTCAGGCCAACCATAATCAGGTATAATCCCAGCAGCAAGCTCAGAAATAGTATCACACAACTTCTTCGAAATCGTCTTCGCATCTTCCCTCGGAACACAAGCAAGAAGAACAGATTTTAAGGTATTCTGAGTTGAACCACTGAGTTTCGGCCATAAAAACGAGTCATCCCGAGTTAAGAGCTTTCGAAGGAGAATCGCCGCCATAGCTCGAGCTTCAGGGTGAGGGGAAGACTGAAGAAGGTGCGCAAGCTTGAGGGAGAGAGCGTCGGGTTGATGCTGCTTGCAGAGATTGTAGAGGGTTTCGGATTGAGAACGTTGGTCATTGTTGGTGGACATGAGTTGGGAAATTAGGGTTTCGAAATGGGATGGATCGGGGCCGAGAATCGCCGCCATTTGAGCATGTTGGAACTGAGTCAACTTGGACGCCATTGATGGAGGTTTGGAGGTAGGAGAGGGTTGTTTGCGCCTTACAAATAGTGGGGAAAATTAGGGTTTTTGGGGATAATTTTTGATAGAGAGAGAAATGGAGGCGCTAAAAGGTTTGTGTGCGTCCCTTTCTCTCTCTTTCCTTATTTTTATTTTTTTATTTATTTTGTTAAATGAAATAGTGTAGTAATAATTGCTTGGTAAGTTGGTATTATATTCTGATTATTCTCGTACTCAACTAGTAGGGAGCCAAGAGGAATGTTGAGGGAGAGAAAAAGAAAAGGATGGGAGTTGTGGAAATGAGTCAATTACCATTGTTGCCCTTGGATTTGTACTATGTGCACATGGGCGTCTTGGTTTGTAACTTAAAATAAACATGGCCGTCATGCTAGGGTGCTATTATGAGATGCATTTTAAATAAGGTTGAGGTGAGCAAAAATTTTAGAATTCAAAACTGATTAAGAAACAATAGTTTTAAAACTGTGATTGGATATAATGATTTGAATTGCTAGTACTAATAATAAAATTAAGAATTGGGAAAAGGATGTGGTACAACAACCTTGTAAGTTTTGGGGACTAAACGTGGTGTTGTGCAGCCTTACAATTTACATGGGCATCAAACACAAGCGACCGCCAGCTAGTCACTAATAAGGTTGTTGACAAGTGTTGTCATGTTGAGGGGAGAGCACACAAACTAGTGAACACTAAGAGTCTTAAGCCCTAGGTAGAAGCTTCGCCGACAATGGGAGTTGTGTGTGAAGCGTGTAGCTCGTCAGCAGATTCGATGGGTCATTTCATTATAACTCATTTTTAGGTCATATATAGGCATGTGACCAATCATTGGAAAGTTTTTCATGTCTAGTTGCAATTTGATTTATTTTAATCCAATATGTATACTAATTACCCAAAAGAATGCAGAATGGTCGATTTTAGTACATCACAAACTAACATCGGGCTTCATTTGAACTTGAATTCATATTTGAAATACAAATATAAATCCTTATAAATGCTACATTCACTACTTATGCTTATATGACTTAAACCAAACACCCACGAGCATATATTCTTCATTAAAGACCTTGATTCAAGATAATTATACTTCCTCCATTAATTGTTAATCGCAACAAAGGGGTTGTGTGCGAAACCTTAGGTAAAATTTTTTAACCATGATTAATGAAAAGTAAGGGCATGTACTTAATATTAATCCAACAAAAACAGCCACCACAGCTAAATAGAACCACCCAGCACCACCACCCACGCCACCTAGAACCACCACCCATACTACCTAGAACCACCACCTGTCAAATTTAGAACCACGAACACATAACCCCCCACCACGAACCCAGAACCCACCACCACAAACCCAGAACCCCCGACCCACCTAGTTCACCCACGCGAACCCAAATCCACTCACGCAAACCCAAATCCACAATCCACCACCACGAACCACGAACCCACCCACACCACCACCCACTAATCACCCACGCAACCCCCACAACCCAGATCTGAAATCTATAATATGTATTAAAAGGCATTCCTTTTAAAGAAACAATGCCACATGGCACTTTTCAAATTATGTGTGTCATGTCTTTTGGGTAGCGTCCAACGCTACGCGGAAGAGAAACCCGCCCAAGACCCGCTCACTAATTAAAGTAACTAAGCATGCAATCACATAATTAAACAACAAAAGAAAGAGAAAGGGAAATGACATTCTTACCCTCGACGCGTGCTTCGTTCCTATAGAGCTCGGACTTCAAAGCCTTAGCTCCGCAAGCGCGAGAGCCTCCGGCGGAGTCCACCCTCGAGACCCGACCCGAACGGCCTCTACCTCAAAGGTTAGTCGAGGCTAGACCAAGAAAAGACTAGAGTATTACGAACTTAAAGGTTTTCTCACCTATAGGGAGATGCCTTATTGAGTTCAACTTAAGTGATTTTTCCCAAATCCAAAACTTGGGTATTTATAGGGAATGGAGACTTGATCTCCCTTATCCCATCAATGTGGGAGATTTGCATTTTCCTCTATTTTATTTTAATCAAAAACAAAATAAAAATGCAAGGCAATCAACAAGCTCCAAGTGTCACATGGAGGGAGAGAGTAGGTAAGGACCACCAAAGGGGGACCAAATTTCCTTGCTCCCCAAGCCAAGCACCAACCCTTGGTCCCACACAAAACCGGCATCACCAAGCCACTTGGCTAGCTGTCAGCCTGCCTTGGCTGCCAAGGCTACCAGCTGGCGCCTAGCACCAAGGCTGGGCTGCTGGCCAACCTGCCCACGCATATGCGTAGTCAGCCAGCACACATAGCTAGCCAGCACACGCATGCGCTGCTCCCTAGTGCGTCTCGCTAGCACACACACGCACAGCCTAGCACGCTACTACTTGGTGCGTGATACTGTGCGATAGACGAGGCCTAGGGGTGCTTGGTGCGTGCCACTGGCTAGCACGCATAGCCCATAACACAAGCACGCATAGCATGCTGCGGTGCGTGTGCTATGTGCTGCCTGCTAGCGGTAGCGAGGCCCAACAAGCACTTACGTGTTGCTGACCTTTCGATGCTTGCGGGCTGTGCTTAGCCATGCCCAGCATGATGCGATGGCTGGTGCTGCTATGCTAGCGAGAACGCTCATCCATGCATGCACAGCCACAGCACATGCACGCATGGCACGCATCTTGCGATGCTAGTGTCATGCGATGTGCGTGTGCTAGGCGATGCTAGGCACACATGGGATGGTGACCTCTCCTAGCCTAGCACTCGCATGGCTAGGCCAATGCGAGGCTACGACTTGGCTCGAACTTGTCGCTTGCTTGATTCCACGTCTTGTCGAATTTTAAATCTGACTTGACTTGCGAAGCTCGGTCTCGACGCTCTAAGCTCAATATCCGATGTCTTTGTTTGTAATACTCTAACGACTCATTTAATCCTTTGGTTTGATTCGTCGTCTCGGATCGGTTACTCGATTGGGTGTGACCCTAAGGGTTCAGTCAAGATTAAGCTGTAATATCAATTACACATTAATATTACTGATCAGAAGCGGCCTCCACCTAGGCATTCTTCCGATCACTTGACCTCACTGAAGAATTAGTTTTCTAATAATTCTGAACCCTCTATCGGAATAATACACTTGTTGGAAGGACACCATTTTTTTTAATGTCACCATTCAAAGTATATACGCCACGTAAGCTAGCCACTTCATTTAACAAAATAAAACATGCTTTAAACAAGATTCTAACCCATAACCTCATGATACATATAGGTAGTACATTTACCATCTCAACCAACTTTTATTACTGTTTTAAATTTCACATAATATTATATATTCCTTTCATTTATTAAGTAAATTAGAGGTAATATAATTCATTTATTTTTCACAAGATTAGAATATAAATACATATGATGTAAAAAAAAAAGTGACACGCAAGGCAACGCCTAAACCACTACACACACTAACTATACAAATAGTCGAACATAATTATTAAATTAAAGAAATACACAAATTAGCAACCCGGGGCATCGCCCGGGGTACATATTAGTTGAAAGGTGGTCTTCTTCTTCAATTGATGAGAATGGGTTGAAGGAGGAGAGTGAAATATAATGGGGGAAATGATGGATGAAGAAGAAGGAGAGAGAAGATAATGGGGATGAATCTGATTTTTAATGGGTTGAGATAATTAAGTTAAATTAGGGTTATAATAATTTGTAATTATGTTATAGTAGTATGTGTTAATAATTTTTAAGTGAGGGTATTTTGGTCATTTTGGTAAAAAAAACTTACTAAAAAAGGAAAGAAATTTTTTTGTTGCAATTAAAGCTTAGCATCCAAATATAGTAATTATTGCAATTAACAATTAACGGAGGAAGTAAAAGCCACCTAAAACATTAAGAAAATACAAATGTGGCGTTGTAGAGCACTAAATAGACAAACAATCTAGGTAAGTGAGACCCTAAATTCAACTACAAAAACTAAAATAACCTACTAATACATCACATATATATATATATATATATGTATATATATATATATGTGTATATATATATGTATGTATATATATATATGTATGTATATATATATATGTATATATACATATATATGTATATATATGTGTGTGTGTGTGTATGATGTATGTATGTATGTATGTATATATGTGTGTGTGTGTGTGTGTGTGATGTATGTATGATTATATATCACTTTGCTTAATTTAAATTATTTTTGTTGAACTTTGACTTAAATAAGATTCCATTAATAATAGATAACCAAACGACACTTACAAATATTTTCTAAGAAATCTAAAATTCCAACACAAATATGTAACACCTTAGAACTAAATACATCGCGGAATTGATCAATAATAACTTTAAAAAAAAAACACCCGAAGCAATACAATATGTCTGTAAGCACTAATTCAGCTTAAAGATCCACTAATGCATAGTCGTTTGGGTGAAAATATTTATGTGATCATATATTGCTAAACAAACAATCAAAGAAATTAAACTTCCATGCATACCAAAATATATTCTTCCTTAAGGGAAGAAAAGAAAGCCATACACCAAACTCTCACTAAAAGAGAAAACAAACCAAAAAATTGGGAAGAAAACTTTCATAATGAGAGAAGAAAAGAGGATTATTAATAACTATACAATTAAAAATCTATATTTATTATATATTATGTGTCACGTGGACCCTTTACATCAATTACATGTATTAGATGTATGTCACATCACCTGTCACATGTATTGTATGTCACTTCATCCATTACACTATAAACATGTTGTAATGGCAATAAAAATATTTATTACAAGGTTTGAACACAAGACCAATAAGAAATGAATTAATGTTCTTACCATCTTTGCTATTGTCTAATTATGTTTCATATTCAATATATACTAAATACTTTGCATTTTTTGAGGGCACTTATTTAATTTCATAGTTATTATTGTTCACTTTGATTTTAATTATATAGTTTACATTTTATTGCTCAAAAATATTTAGTAAAAATGGAAACTAATAATCACCTTTGCCATTTCTGCTCAAAACAATCTCACCTATTCGAAATCTGGAAACAATCCCACCTTTGACCCTTATCTGCTCAAAACAGTCCCTAAACCGTTTTGTGAAATTGGTAACCTGTTTTAGAAAGTGACTTGTCACGTGTCACCTTCTAATTGGTTTTTTTAATAAATTAAAAAAATTAAAGAATAATAATAATAAATAAAAAAAAAGCTTTCTTCTTCCCCAATTACCTCCCCTGCTGGAGCCCCCCTTCCCCAAGTCGCCTTTCCCCTGCCTTGCCAGCCCCATTCCCTTCCCCGCCGACAAACAACAATCCCCACCCCAAACCCCTTTCCACGTTGACGAACAAAAGCCCCCCACCCCTAACCCCTTTCCCTGTTTCCCGATGACGAACAACCCCCATCACAAACAATTTCACAAGCCATGGCGGTCGGCGTTGGTTGAAAATTGGTTGCTATTTGGGCAGTGGCTTGCTGTGATGGAAATTGAGTTGTGAAAATTGGTGAAAGGTAGCGATAGGGTGAAGCAATTGGTGGTTGTCGCTGCTAGGTTTGCGCTAATGCGGGAATTGGTGAAAGGTGGTTGTTCGGTGTTGAATGGTTGCCATTGTGGTGCGAAGTGGGGGCGAGTGGCAAGGTGGAGATGCGTGGGTTGCTGCTACAGACGTTAGGGGGGTATGTGGGGGAAAGTGCAGTGGTGAGGAAAGAGAAAGAAGGTGCTCAGGTTGTTGGCGGTGGTGAGAGAAATTGCAGTGGCGAGGAAAGAGAAAGAAGGTGGTCAGGTTGTTGGCGGTGGTGAGAGGAAATTGCAGTGGCGAGGAGAGAGAAAGAAGGTGGTGGGTGGAGGTTAGGTGGTGATGTGGTGGTGGCTATGGTGGGTTGCAATGAAAGAGGGTGGTGAGGTGGGAGGAGAGAGATTAAAGGAAAAAATAATAAAAAAAAAAGTTTAACCTGTTAAACAAGTTATAGGTAAAAGGAACTGTTTTGAGCAGATAGGGGTCAAAGGTGGGATTGTTTCCAGATTTCAAAAAGGTGGAATTGTTTTGAGCAAAAATGGCATAGGTGGGATTGTTAGTTTCCATTTTTCCTAATATTTATTGATATTCAAAGTAAAACCCGGTGCATCGCCCGGGAAACATACTAATTCAGGAATAAAAGAAAGATTTTGGGCTTACCACCATCGAAGAGATGATGATGTCAGCCCCTTGCAGTTGGAAAAGGAGTTAGGTTTTTTTAAAAAAAAAAGTGGGAGAAGAGATTTTTGTTGAACTTAAATGATTAATTGAAATTAAATTACGTATGTTAAACTAATTTATTTTAAATTTTTTAATTACTTTGTATTTACTTATTCATTATTATTATATATATACATACATATATATATATATATATAATTACTAATTGCTACTAAATTAAACTTATATTTTTTTTTTGAAAGAAACTAAATTAAACTTATATTTATTAAACTTAATTAACGTATGTTTCCCGAACTTGACTTGATTTTACTAAACTCTCAATTGGCTTTTTCTTAAAGCTTTGGATGAGTGTTCTAGCTTCCGCCGTTTTCTTTTGGGAATAGAATCGAGATAGGAATTTCTTTGTGACCTCATCCCAAGTATGCAACGAATTAGGCTTCACCTCTTTGTCCAACCATTCCAAGGCTCTCCCTATGAGTGAGAAGGGAAAAAGCTTTAGGCAGATGAATTCTTGAGAAACTCCATGCACTTTAATGGTATTGCAATACTTTTCGAATTCCTTGAGGTGGTTTAGAGAACTCTCGTGCTTGGCTCCACGAAATTGTCGTCTCTCTATCAATGTTATCATTGCGGGTCTTATTTCAAAGTTGTGTTGCGAGAGTGTGAGCGATGCTATGCCACTTTCAAACCTATATGCACCGGGTATCCCTAGCTCCTTCAAGGCGCTACTCTCAGATTTTCACCCATGATTGCTTGTTCTTCTTCTTGTTGCACTACCTCTTGTGAATGATTGGGGCTCAAGGACCTTGAAGCAACTCTCCTTCTAGAAATTGTCCTTTCAATTTCCGGATCAAAAGGCACTAAAGGTCAGGCACGTGCACTAGCTATGCATACAATCTCAAAAGAAACAATTAGTAGCACGGCTACAAATGTAGCCTAAAGAGAAAAATCTTTTTGTGTTTTCAAATTAAATGAAATAGACTCAACAACTATAGCAAAAAAACTACGTCATTCCCCGGCAACGGCGCCATTCGATAGAGGATCTAAACACATTGTTATATGCTTAAAACCTTATCAACAAAATTTGTAAACACTCGACCAATCCTAAACAAAGTATAGGGGTAAGTCAAGGGTTGAACCACGAGGAATGGGAGAAAGGTTACTATAGCCTAGGATCAAGCTACTTCGAAGAATGGGAAGGTGTTGATTGTGTAAGCTATGGTCTCAAGCAACTAAATCAATGAAGAAATTCAATATCAAAAGCACTAGGGATTAGGATCCACGTGCAATCAAGATAGGAATGCTAATTGAGGGGAATTGATCAACCAAATGTTGCAAGGGAATACTCAAGTGAATAAGTTCACCACAAACTCACCAAAAGGGACAATAATGCTAAACAATCAACAAAAATTAAAAGTTAAGCATTAAGGATTAGCAAACAACAACAACATGAATCAACATTATCAATTCAATCAACAAAATACCCAAAAACAATACTACTACTATTCACAAGTATGGAAAAATCAAATTCTCATGCAAATATGATAAAACAAGTTCAATAAAGTGTAGAAAAGATGATTATACCATACAAGAGGCAAGAATAACCAAGATTAGAGCACAAATTCACCAAAATTTCAAAATCCCCAATTTTGTCTCCAATGGAGATTGAAGCTTGAAGAAGAAGAAATGGTGATTAGTAGTAAGGGAAATGAGTCATTTGAAGAGAAATATGTGGGAAATGAGTGGTTTATGAGGGAAATTTGTGAATTTGGATGGTGTTTTGAAAGATTTGGGGGTTAGGATTTGTATTGCAGAGTGAGAAAGAGTAGATGTCGAAAGATAGGATGTGAGAAGTGAGGAAAAAGAAAGGAAAGAAAGAAGGATATGCCACGGTTGGAGTCGAGCGCCCCCACGCAAGCCACCTGCACGATCGTGCAAGCCAGCCGCGCACCCGTGCGTGGGTCGCGCATGTGGTCGTGCTCAGAATTGCTCTCGGCCTTTCCTTGGAGCGCCCGCGCCACATATCCTCGCTGTCGCGCTCCCATGTTTTACCTCTTTCTCCATCCTAACCCTTGTTCTAGCAATCTTAAGTGCATCTACCTTCCTCATATGGCTCAAAATCATGCAACATTGAGCACAAACTCTCACTACAACCACTAAGCACCTCCAAATGATGCTTCATGCTTGATCAAATGAATCCAAATCGCATGATAATCACCCTACAAAAACAAACACAAAAATAAGTAAAGAAAAGAGAAGATAAGAAAAGAAAAATGAAAAATGAAAAGTTAGAGGGTCGGGTTGCCTCCCGGGAAGCGCTAATTTAAGGTCCCTTGCTTGACCTTACCTCCAAGTCATGGAGGGTCAAAGAAAACCACCTTGTCCAAAGTGGTGGAGAGAGTGGAATCATTGCCAAGCTTTGGCAAAATCACATTATGAGATTCATTTTATTGCATCATAAAAACCCGATCAAACTTATTGAACTTCAACTTCTCCTTATTTCTCTTGGGAATTCTCTTTCTCTTCTTTGTTTTCTTCTTCCTTGGAGCTATGAACTCCACACCATCTATGCTTGAAAAACTACTCTCATCATCATGCAAAGCAAGTCCAAACCAATCCGGCATCTCAATCACATCCTCAAGCCTTGAGTTCACTTACTCGCCTTCACTAACCAACTTGCTATCAAAATTTATAGAAGCAGTGTCACAACCTTCAAGAACATCATTAGTAGACGACGAAAAAGTGCAAGCAATATCATTCATAGGAAACGAATTAACGCGCATAATTCCTTGCACATAAGAAAGGGACTCATGCATAGGCTTAAGCTTGAAGTTAGCCAACTCATTACCAACACACAAAGTGATCATGCCACCTTTCACATCTATCAAGGCACCCAAAGTTGCTAGGAATGGTCTTTCTAAAATGATAGGAATGTTGTCATCTTTCGCAATCTCTAGCACGATGAAGTCAACGGGGATAGTGAAATCTCCTATCTTGAGGGGGACATCCTCAATTCTACTCTTGGGGAACTTGATAGAGCGGTCGGCTAATTGTAGGGTCATGTTGGTAGGGAGAAGTTCACCTAACTTAAGCTTCTTGAAGACGGAATATGGCATGATGCTAACACTAGCACCAAGGTCACAAAGAGCATTTTGAAATAATTTTCCATTGATATTAAGGTATTGAAAAGTTACCTAGATCTTTCATTTTTTTGGGTAAGTCATTGTGGATAAGAGCACTACAACATTCCCCAACCTTTACCGAATCAACCTCATTACACTCTCTTTTGCCACTCAAGATTTCCTTAAGGAACTTAGAATAGTTTGGCATTTGTTTCAAAGCATCGGTGAAAGGGATAAAAAGATGAATCTCCTTAAGCATATCAAGGAATCTCCCAAATTGATCATCAAGTTTGTTCCTTAAGAATTTTTGGGGGTAGGGAAGTTTGGTTTGATCACTTCATCTTGCACACTCTCTCTCTTCTTGGCTTTCTCATTAGAAACCTCACACTTCTTGCTTGACACATCATGCTCATCATCATTGAATGAATCACTCACCCTCTCACTTTCTTGACACCTCTTAGAAACACTCTCTTCAAGGACCTTACCACTCCTAGTGGTGATAGAATAAACCGGTTTCTTGGGTTCAAGACCTTAGGAGGGCAGAGAAGAGGGACTAGCACTTTCTTTCAAAGCATTGGCTAGTTGGGTGATTTGGGTCTCAAGCATCTTGCAATGGGTCATCATCTCATTGAATTTCTTGTCACTTACACCCATGTATGTAGTAAGTAACTTAGTTTGATTCTCAACGATTTCTTCAAGATTAGACCTAGATGATGCATTTGGTGCAAAGGAATTATCACCTTGAGCTTAGGTCTTTGGAACAAAACCGGGTGGAGGGCCTCTTTGTGAATTGTTTTAAATTGCCCCTTCCTTGGTTGTTCCAATTACCTCTACCTTGGTTTTGGTTACCATAACCTTGGTTTTGATTTCCAAAGTTTTGGTTATGATTACCAAAGCCTTGGCTTTGATTTTGTCCACTATAACCTTGATTGTTATAGTTACCTCAGAAACCTTGGTTCCTATAGCCACCACCTTGGTTATAGTTGTCAAAATTCCCTTGGTTGTTGTAATTACTATTGTCTTGAACTCTTTGATTATAAAATCTTTGTCCATCGTTATTAGACACAAAGTTCACATGCTCACTCTCATTACTATCAAAATCATCACATGCATCCGAAAAAGAATGAGGGCAATTAGAAGCATCATGATCATATGAACCACACACATCACAAAACAAGCATCCACTAGGCATGTTATTGGAAGTAGAAGGAGGAGTAGGGTTAGAAGATGTACCTCTCCCCTGATTTTGGGAGGGAAGAATAGGTGCTTGTGAAAAAGCACTCTCCAACTAGGCTTTGATAGAAGTCATCTCCTTCCCTAGGTTTGAAAGTTGGGATGACAAATTGTTGATGGCATTGAGATGATCAACGGAATAAATCGTGGAGCTATTCTTGCTTGTAGACTCTCGTTCACCATCTTTCCAATCCATGTAGTGCCTCACTACATCTTCAATGATATCAACAACTTCTTCCTCCGTTCTATTCATGATTGGGCCTCCGGCTCCCGTATCGAGACAAGATTTGCCTTGAGGACTCAAGCCTCCATAGAAGATTTGGATTATTTGATAGATTGGAATCCCATGATGAGGGCACTCTCTTTAGTAATCCTTGTACCTCTCCCAAGCTTCATATAAACTCTCACTTGGCTTTTTCTTAAAGCTTTGGATGAGTTTCCTAGCTTCCGCAGTTTTCTTGGGAGTAGAATCGAGATAGTAATTCCTTTGTGACCTCATCCCCAGTACGCAACAAATTAGGCTTCACCTCTTTGTCCAACCATTCCAAGGCTCTCCCTATGAGTGAGAAGGGGAAAAGCTTTAGGCAGATGAATTCTTGAGAAACTCCATTCACTTTAATGGTATTGCAATACTTTTCATATTCCTTGAGGTGGTTTAGAGGACTCTCGTGCTTGGCTCCATTAAATTGTCGCCTCTCTATCAATGTTATCATTGCGGGTCTTATTTCAAAGTTGTTTGCGGGAGTGTGGGCGGTATTATGCCACTTTCAAACCTATATGTACCGGGTATCCCTAGCTCCTTCAAGGCGCTACTCTCGGATTTTCACCCATGATTGCTTGTTCTTCTTCTTGTTGCACTACCTCTTGTGAATGATTGGGGCTCAAGGACCTTGAAGCAACTCTCCTTCTAGAAATTGTCCTTTCAATTTCCGGATCAAAAGGCACTAAAGGTCGGGCACATGCACTATGCATACAATCTCAAAAGAAACAATTAGTAGCACGGCTACAAATGTAGCCTAAAGAGAAAAATCCTTTTGTTTTTCAAATTAAATGAAATAGACTCAACAACTATAGCAAACAAACTACGCCATTCCCCGGCAACGGCGCCATTTGATAGAGGATCTAAACACGTCGTTATATGCTTAAAACCTTACCAACAAAATTTGTAAACACTCGACCAATCCTAAACAAAGTATAGGGGTGAGTCAAGGGTCGAACCACGAGGAATGGGAGAAAGGTTACTATAGCCTAGGGTCAAGCTACTTCAAAGAATGGGAAGGTGTTGATTGTGTAAGCTATGATCTCAAGAAACTAAATCAATGAAGAAATTCAATATCAAAAGCATTAGGGATTAGGATCCACGTGCAATCAAGATAGGAATGCTAATTGAGGGGAATCGATCAACCAAATGTTGCAAGGGAATATTGTAATTACAATCAAGATAACTCAAAAGGTTATCTGCTAGAAGTAAAGCCAGGTTTCCTCTATGAATGACTAGCAAGAAGAGTCACAAATCAAATTCAATCAATAAATGCAATAATCCCTAAATCAAGTAGTCATGTCATTAGGAATCACAATGCAATCTAGCTTGAAAATCAAGGTTAGCTACTCCTATCAATCCAAACACCATGCACAATTCTATCAACCAATTTAATCACAACATTCAATCAATCAAAATCCTTCAATTAGCAATGATTCATCATTCATACATGCTTCACCATCACCCGAGCAAAGAATCTACTCACTAATCATGGTGAATTGAACAAGCAAAACTAAACTAATCATCAAATTCATCATCATCATTGCAAAACAAACTATCAAGATCAAATCAATCAATAAACTTAAAATTGTAACAACTAATCAAAATCAAATACAAGAAGATTGAATTGAGAAGAAGAAGAATCTTACAAACTTTGATTGAAATCAAAGAAATTGTGCTTGCATTCAAAGTAGAATAAAATCAAATGTAGAAATCACTAATTTCTCTCTCTAAAATCTAGTACAAAAATGGAAGTTGAAGTCTAATTCTAGTTGTTCATTAAAAATAAAAGGAATATCTATTTATAGTATAACTAACTAAGGAGAAATAAGGAAGACGTCCAAAAATAGACCCGTATGGGCGCACCCTCTTACGAGCATGCGCGCCCGCGAAGATGAGGGTACGGAACAAGATCCTTGGTGACGCGCTCGCGCGAAAGACGTGCTCGCCCGCGCAGGTGATAGGCGCACCCGCGCCATTGGAACAAGGCATCGTCTCTGTGCGCTCTTTGATGTATGTGGTGAGCTCCTTTTTATCGTCATTAGATATATATGGCAGTCCCGAAATAGAGTTTACGGTGGGTTCAACACCACGGTTTTATGCGACCGCAGCTCGTGAGCACAATCACCAATTCTTGAAGCTAGTCACTCCTTGCCTTGTGAGCTATATGAGAGCTTTCACCTTGCACTTTGAGCATCCTCTAACTCGAGAAATCATCATGAAGGGTCCTAGAATCCACCTTATACCTACAAACAAATAAAGGAGAACAAATAAAAGAGAAAAGACGATAAAATCTACGAGAAATTGAAGAAAAGGTAAAATAAATGAAAATGAGACAAACTAAAGAATAAGAGATCAAAACTAAGTGAAAAGATAGAAATAAAGCTATAAAAGCAACTAAAATCATCCTAAAATAATGCCATTAAATGGCACTCATCAGAAACCCCCCCCCCACCACCACCACCATGACCACGAACCTACTACAAAAGAAAGGGATCAAATTTCTTAGTCTAACAAAAAAAACTAAAAGATAAATTACTCATTTAATCTTCAATCAAAAGAATGGCAACATCATCAACAATGACTTTGCCAATAATCCATTTCCTCCTCTAGCAAATTCCAATACCATCCAACAGGCTCATGTCCTATAGAGATGTGGTGGCAACAAATAGACTAAATTGTACTATATCCCCATTGGTAGGATTTAAGGAGGATGAAGATATTTCTGATGATGATGAACCACTTGCAAATGTGGTAGATAATCCAAAGTGCGTGCATGTTATTTTTTTGATAATAGATGAGAAGAAATGCATTTGCAAGCCATGGCAACATAGATTAATCATCAATATTTATGACAGCAAGATTGGGTATATGTCCTTAATTAATAAAGAGATAGAATTTGGACTGATATTGGCCATGAATTGTTCAAAATCAAAAGATGATAAACTTTTTTATAAGCCTTAACACAGAATAATTTTCTAAAGGAGAAGGAACAATCAAACTCACAACCAACGATCCTACCACCATAGAAAAACAAACGAACATTTATACAACGTATGCAAAAATAAAGGAAAAGAGCCAAAATTAAGAAACCGTCCTAGAGGAGAAGGAAGGAAGACTGATAAACAAGTTGATACATATGAAATTTGACATATAAGTTAACTTTACCAATTTATCCACTCTCTTTATATTCTCCTCATGCAATTTTTACAATTTAAATTATATCTATTGGCCTGGGTTGGAAACTAATTTTTATTGTTTAAAATATGAATTTTACTATATATGCCAATACTCTTATGTTTTTTCTACTCTACTATGCATATATTATTTTAATGCTAAAAGCTAATTTGTATAGAATTTATTGTAACTTTATAAAATGTAAAACTTAATATCATATATATGCAAATTTATGTACATTGTAATACTCGTATTTCATAAACAATAATTTTCATAAGGGGTGATGTTTAAAATGCATAAATTATCATACATATATAATTTTTTT